ATCCAATTTAACAGAGTTTTACTCAGACAAATAGACCTACAAATCTGAAACTTAGAGAGGCAGCTTACACTATCCAGACATTTTTTGACATCCCTAGGTATAATTCTAATTATAGAACCTTTCAAACTTGTGCAGCAGAAGTGGATTAAGTTAAATAGTCTGCTCAAACTGCTAGAGGCTTCACAGCTAAGAAATTAATTTCTCTAGCTTTGATTTTATTATTGGGGTATGATTTTTTTTTTCCCTGAACTTATTGGAAATGTCATTTTATTATTACACACTACTTTCAAATACATGGAGAGAAGTACTTCCTGATGTGTGAGTTTTCACCTTGCTGCTGCTGCTGAGCAAAATTGTTACGGACTTGTCTTATCTCTTCAGAAATTAATAGCAGATGGCACAAACTATCGCTAAAAGAGACAGGCATTTTATTAATACCAGAGTCTAGTTTCTAATGGCTGGTAGGTATTTTAATGCCAATGAAGTTCTTCCAGAGAAAACATTCTTCAACCTGTCAGGGTATTGAAACCTATTACTGAAGTGAGACTGCAGAGTCAATTTATTGAAACTTGTTTCTAAAGAAAATCTTATGCAACTATAAAAAAAAATTAGAGCTTTTTTAATGATGAAGCCTATTTACATTGGCTTATATGCACCCAGCTCATGATGAGAGATAAATCACATCTAAATAGCAAGTAAATTAAAAGCAACCAATAGTTGCTAATGACTGGCCAGATCAGGACATACTTTTCTACTGATGCCAGAACACTTAAAAGTTTGTATTAGTGCACATATCATAAGTAATTAAATCAGTTAAATTTCTACAGTAGAAGATATCTGATTTCCCCTTGCCCTTTTTAGTTAACTAATTATTTTGCATTTTTGGCCAGCAAAATTAAGACCCATTAAAGGCTAGGATAACTGCTTACCATTTCTTTTCCTGACACTAAATTCAGAGGAAGATAATATATCAGATTAAAAGGAGAGCAGATTTGTAGTAGGAGTGAGGATAGTCTGGATTATCTTGAATTTGTAAACACTAACCTCTTGAGGTTTAGCCCATCACCAGAGATAGGTTCTCCCAGAGGATAAATCTGAATTACTGGTGTGGCATGTTTTTACAAAAAAAAAAATGGGGAGTCTAGGTGGGTTAGGCTCCCCAGACCATAGTGACCCCTAGACATTCCTCCTCCCTCTGCCCAGAGTTCAGTCTTTTTCCCCAAGTAATTTACAATCTCCAACCCAAAAGCTTCTCCTAATGACATCACTCTAAATGAAGGTCTTTGGCAGAGCTCATGGCAAGGTGATAAGAGATGTCAGCAGACCACAAGGAGTAAAGAGATGTGGGCCAAGGGCAGTTGATAAAAGACCTGGTCGATAGGAAAAACAGAGCAGATGAGCCAATGGCTTGTGTTGATGGCATGTGTTCCTGGGGAGCACCTTTCCCACCAGAGGGCAGGAGGACTACCAAAATTCAGGTCCAGAGACTTCAGCCACAGTGCCTGATGATGTCCCAACTAGATCTGCAGACCCTTTTTAAAATCAGTCAAGACTTTCTTTATCAGCTTGTCCCACAAAGTAAGCATTTTGCCTGGAATAAATGCATTTGACTGGGAGAGCATTTGAATAATCAAGGTATGGTCTGTGGGTGCCTGAGGTGGGAAGGGTATAACAGTGTGAACGGAAACATCCTCTCTGTGATAGTGAAAACAAGTTTATGAAAGCAAACATTCTGAAGTTCAGCTCTGTGGGTTTTTCCCTAGTAGTCAGGCTACTATTATTGTTATTTATATTCATATAGCTTCTAGTAGCCTGAGGTACTGCATTAAGTACTGCACAAATTCAGTGATGGCTCTGTTAATCCTCGTGTGAAGCAGATTTCCCTTCAGGCCTGGTTCAATAGACACAAAGGTGTCTATCTGACTTAATCGATTGAAAAAATTTTCATTTAATTGCCAGGAGACTGCTCCTAGAGTAGTGTTACCCACATGATTGAGTTTGTGATTAAGAATTCTATTTCTGTTTGGCAGAGCTGAACCAAAAATAGCTTTTTTGTTTCTCACTCCCTCTGTGGTACTTTGACAAACATGAGATAGAAACTCACATCTTCAGTGTCTTGTATAGCACAGAAAATGGAAGCACCAAGGGTATTTTTATTCTCAGCCCAACTCTTCGGATGTTGAGCTGTTTGTCCATAAGCCCCTTTTTCTGCAGACCCCGAATGGAAGTCCAGGAGCACTGCATTACACAGCACAGGCAAAATGAGAGACACTTCTTTCTCCCGCAGTAGGTGAGATTGTCAGCTCCAACCTAAACAATTCTGTGATTCTGTGGATTCCTCAAGCTGGTGGTGCAAAAGAATGAGAAAAAAAACAAAAGCTGTGCACCTCGGAAAATATCAGAGGGATAGCTCTTTCCTGTCTTTCTTCTTGGACTCCTTTTTGTCTTTTTGACTTCTAGACATCAAGACTGTTAGATGAACGCCTGACCTCGGTACGAGTAGAAAGGAAGGCATAGAAAGAATGTGTGTTTTTGTGATCAAGTCATCATTTAGGTAGTTTTCTGAGCTTCTATCCTCATAAATAAAACACAGAAGTCAGGGGAAGGGTAGTTTTTTGTTGTCTGTAGGTTGCGCATGTATGTTAATAATATAGTTTTATAAGAACTAAGCTATGTAATGCCTTTTAGATGTGTTACAGTGTGTCTTGAGGATGTGCACTGCCATCTCTGTGCTAAAGGATGGATCAGTCCGGCATGGCTGTGCCCATGCTACCCTGGCAAAGGACCCAGGGTCTGTTTTCTGTCTCAGGGGTAATGGTTTTAAACTAAAATAGGTTTTGGTTAGATTAGATATAAGGAAGGAGTTTTTTACAATGAGGGTGGTAAAACACTGACACAGGTTGCCCACAGACCTGATGGATGCCCCAGCCCTGGCAACATTCAAAGTCAGGTTGAATGGGGCTCTGAGCCACCTGGTCTAGTTGAAGCTATTCCTGCTCATTGCAGGGTTTGGACTACATGCATTTTGAAGGTCCGACCCAGCCCAAAACACTTTGTGGTTCTATGATAAGGCTGTTATAAGGCACCTGCTAGTGGTTAAATCTGGTTCAAATGGCCCTGGTGTGTTCTTTGAGCCCAAGTCCAGAGCATGCTTTATCCTTCACCTTGGATGTTCCCTTTACTTTAGTTTGTGTCTTTATTATTCTACTCTTTTTTTTTCTTTACGAGCTATTGTGTTTTTAATGAGCTGTTAATTCCTCGGGCTAGCTAGCCTCTGATTATTTGGAAGGATAGGGGAAAGAGGGAGGGGGAGAGGGAAGAATGTCCTGCTTTAGGTTTTTTCCTTGGTAGTATCTGTCTTCATTTAATCTCCAATCCTTTTAGTCTGACTGGAGGTAATGGCTCTTAGCATGCTCTATAAATCATTCTGCAGAAGATCTTGAGTGAGCATTTTATTTAATAAGTGTGGAGAAGTGGGCTTTTATCCGTGCAAAAGAGGTGACAAGTTCACTGTAATTTCCACTGGATTACTGTATTTGGAGTAGAAGAAGTAATAGAAGACTCAAAATACTGGCCTTACAGCAAGTTCCAATTGTACTACCTCTTCTTTTACTTGCTACTTGATCCATAGAAGCATCAAAGTTATTTATGTTGAAAAACAGCACTTTGATTTAATAGCGCATAGGTGCTTGGGTGGAATTTAAAGCTCACTTTGAAGAGTTGTGCCAGTCTGAAAACCTGAACATTAAAGCTCTCGAGCTTCAGAAAAAGGTGAATCTGCAGCCACATCAAATTGCTGCAGCTCACCTCCATTTCTAGACTGTGTCAGAGCAAGTCTGAGAGCTTGGATTTCTTGAAGAGGAGAGGAAGTAGGGTTCAGCTACAGGGATCTCAAAGAGAAATCTTTATCCAGGCTGCTGGAAACTGGCATCCTGGCTCCTTGTCTACTGTCTGCCTGGGATACCCTCCTTTCTTTCTCCTTTCAGGCTCTGAGTCTAGGCAGGGACTTCACTCTGGCTGCCAGGTCTGACTACAGTGGGAAGACTTTGCATCACCAAAGCTGTGTTCCTCATAAAACAGTGAAGCCACTGCAGAGAAAGCACAATGTTGACTTACAGCAATTTAAAATTGACTTGAAATGAATGCTTATCATGTGGATTTTGAATGGTTGTTGAGTGGGGATCACATTGAACCTACTTCATCCCCAAAACAGCAGGGAAAGTGCTGCACGTCTCAAGAAATGCTTCACTAGTATACAATTTTGTGAGTCTCAGCCACAGGAAGTCCAAGAAGCAACTAGGCTGTAGCCCTGTTCACACCCAGATTAGTGATGAGAAATAACCAGCTTTATAGGTCAAAGGAAGTGGTTTCTTTCCAACCACAGAATGAACTCTGAAGACATTTTGTCTTTAACAAATGGGACCAGCAACCCTGTGTGTGTACTGAGCACTGCTGAGCTTCAGAGTAAAGTCTGTGAAGAAACGATGCCATGGATGCTTTGGTCGTGGTCAGAACACACATCTGCGGTGTGATGTCTCTTCTGTAGGTCGTCACAACCGTTTGTTTTCCAGGTTGGGTACCTCTCTGTGTGGCTTGTGTGGAGAGGTAAAAAAGTCCTATCAAGTACAGACCTGTGACTTTTTTCTTGTGAGAAATAACGAGAAAGCAGGTGGCCAAGCAGGCAGTCGTAACAGTGGCTATCCCCCTGACTCCTTGATTTTCAGCCTTGAAAGAATGGAGTAGTTTTTCCAGGAGCACTATATAGTAAAAGTCAGGCTGTTCTATGTGTTCCCCTGGCATCTACATCCTCCCTGTAATAACTTACAGGGTTTGAATCAAGACAGGAATTCACAGACATTTTTCTTCTTGAACATTTATCTGCCATGGAGCATTTCAAGAAATAAAATGCCCAGTGATGCCTGAAATATTTCTGTGGCACAGGGCACTTCGTCACACCTCACAGACAACCGTATTCACTCTTTTTGTTTGTTTGTTTGAAGGATGCGTACTTGTGGTGTCTGTAATTGAACAACTTGCACAATGGCACAACAGTACAGTAAAGGCAGCCGTGGAGAGACTGTGCAACTACATACCTGGTAAGTACCAAGTAATGTGCCATATGTTATGCTGGTGCTGCTGTATTTCTCTGTTACTTAAAAATTCTCATGTGAAGTCTGATAAAACTTTATCCACTTCTCGTGCAGCATCTCAAACGTATGTAGCTAGGAGATAGAAAGTTGCTATTTACAGAAAAGTCAGTGGCGTGGCTTTGCTTGGTTTCAGGGACGGGATTTTGTCCCAAAGTTAGAATATATGGGGCTGTATTAAGCCCACACATATCTGAGCACCAACATATGCAGACCCCTTTCCTTTCTTTTTCTCCCCTTTGTCTCTTTGTTAGCTGCTTAAGAATAGACTCACTGTATGCCCAACTACTCATCTTATTGATAAGGGTCTTCATAGCAACTGTGAAGCTGAAAATGTTTTCAGTGGATATAGGAAGCTGCTATTGTAAAATTTTAAAAATGAGATGAGGTTGACAGGTGTGATGTGAGGATTTGGTGTGCGCCAAAAAAAGCTATTGAAATGTAACTGGTGATACAAATTTCAAAAGCAATAGCTATTCCATATGATTATATGTAAGTCCCGTTTTTCTGCCCCTTATTTTGTCTGCCCAAAGGAGCTTAGCTGTCCACATGCACACTCCTAAATAGAGAGCAGTTTGAATGCCACAATAGCTTTGTGCCTCACAGACCAATCCTGTAACTATTTAAGTAACTAGATCTCACATTCATGATACCTTTTTAACATTATGAATGTAAAAAAAGATGGCTTAGGATTCTTCATTAAAAAGTAATTTTTATAGGACTTCACGAATTATATCTTTGAGAAACCATCTTGCTCCATGAACCCTAGTTAGGAGATATGTGTAGAATATTAATTTCCTCCTTTCCAAGTGAGGATTTCCTGATGTGGAATGGGGCAGGGAGCTAATTGCTAGGATTCATTCATTGATAGAATGACGCTTATCTGATTTCTATTCCATAAGTCATATCCTCAGTGTTTTAAATTACAGGCACATAACCATGAAGTTACAATTACAAACACTGATCCTGCTATTAAAATACAATTTTCTTCTTTAAATTATGACATACTAGCTCTGTGTTCATGATTCACTCAGTGGACCTTGTTCTGCTGACATGTCAAGATATTTCTTTTCAGCTGCCATTCTTTACACACATAAAATCCTATTATCCCTTTAGTTAAATCTGTATAATCCAGTTACCTTCTATGAGATGCATGGATACACCCAATAGAAAATAACTGACCCTGAACTTGAAAGGAATGAAAAATCCTATAGATTGTGTGGGAGCTACAGTGTAACCCACTTTATCCTCTCCTGGGGGGTGAACACTGCAGGCCAGCAGGAATCAACAGCTTCTTCTTGCTGCTTGAAACAGTAGAAAAGCTTTGGATGCTCCTGAGGAGCAAACCTACTAAAGCAGGTCATGCATTTCACTTATAGAAGCAATTCATTATTATGTACATGCCTATAATCGATTGCAAGAATAACAACAACAAATTAATGGCAGTGGGGTTTTTCCTAGGGCCAAAAAGGGAATAAGAATTCATGTGGGTTTTTTTAAGGACCTCCTATAATTCTGATTACAAGCCTTCAGTAAAGTTATATGATGTTCAGGAACAAAAGACAGAGAAAAAGATAGTAAAATTTTCAGTACCTGTCAATCCCACTTAAATCCCTAGGCTATGTAGAAAATTGAACCACATCCTCATTTGTATGGAAATATTTGCAATATGTGCGATTCAAGCAATGTGGCCAATAAAACTACGAAAATAAGACTAGTAATGTCACTAGTGAAGAAGGCTCTTGAGCAGACGCAAAGACCAGGTCTGGGAGAATGTGCAGTATTTACAGTGTTAAGAGATGTTAGCAAGAATATATGTTTACCTGGATACTGACTGACTGCTTCATGAAATTGAGGTGTCTGATACCTGAAATGTGCTTTGAGACCCTTTGCCTTCACCATTGGCTCTGAGTCATGTTCTGCCTCTGTGTTGGCCACTGCTGTGTAAACACCTTAGAGCTCAAGTGCAAATGGCAACAGGATAACAGCATCTTTCTTGCAAATATTTATCCTCTGGGATTCAGCCAGAATCTGTGTTTCTAGGACTATCAAGATATAGAGGAAAACCTTCCAGATTGTTCTTACGTGAGAATAAGGCACTTCAGATGATCTCTTTTATGTGAAACAGGGCAAAAGCAAGTACACTCTATATTTTCTCTAAATCTTCCAGCATTTAATTTGGTTTAAGCTCTTTTTTTGCCTTAAGAGACTGTGAAGAAAAAGACTCCAGGCCAATTTAGTGTATAAGATAAGATAAAAAGAGTGGGTCCTTTAATTAGGCCTCAGGCCAGGGGGAATACACATGACATGCCCACACCCAGACCAGTGGTTGTATGATTTTATAATAAGGTCCATTCAGTCCCAGATCTGTCCACTCCCGGTTCTGCCCGGTTCTACCCACTGACACACCCCTTTGGGAATTAGGTCTGGGGATGTTTGGGACCCCTTCTTCCTCATCTTCATCTTCTTCACAGCATGTGTAGTCCTTGGAGCTCCTCCAAAGTTCTGGGCTTGAAGGTCGCTGCGTCTGTGTGATATCTTCTGGTCCAGGCCTAGAGTGCTTTTCTACAATTCTACCTTGAAAAGAAGACTAAACACACTAACAGAATTTAGAGGGATTGATATGAAATACAGTAACAGGGTTGGGTATGTGTAACTATTATGCTACAGGGTAAGGGATATAATACACCTACATTAAAATCTACATTTACTACAAAAGTACTTCTAAAATCTACAAAAGTAAAAAAATCCAAAAAGCTCTGAGGCATCATTTTCTTGCCCCTGAACGTTCACAGTTGTTCATCACTTTTTCTCTCCCTCCCTTCTGACTTACACAGGTTCTTCCTCACAGATTCCTCTCTTCAATGTCCTCTGCTCCTGTGTTTTATCAGAGCTGGACCTTTGTTAACACATGAATGCAGGCTGGCTCCTAGGGCAGTCCTGTAAACACTGCCTGTGGCTTTGGTCTGTTTTGCTGGAAGCTAAAGCCTGAATGGCATCTGAATCTTCCAAGAGGACTCTATGTGCTCAACTACAATTTAACATTATTACTATTCTTTTTATGTCTCATCATTTGTTATGCCATGGGGTAGTTACATGTCAAGCTTCTTATACGCATAAGGAAACCAGCACCTAGAAATCAGTGTGACCAGCAAAACCCCCACATCAGTTCCCCAGACTTGGCGGGCAGCCAAATTCTTCTCTCCTCAGAGCCACCAGTACAGGTTACAGTAGCCAGCTGGCTCTTCCAGGGCCAGAAACATTGTGGAAACCAGTTGATCCGGGAAAATCACAAGGAGACCATCATCTGTGATGCGTCAGGGAGGTGTTGGGAAAGCCAGCCACCTTTGCCTGCAGGCTACTGTAGGGAGCCAGGTGCCCCACTGGCAAGCCTCATCAGAGGGTATTCTAATCAGCTGTGATACCAAACTCAGGGTTATTGATGTCTGCAATGTCCTTTTAGGTGAACAAGAATAAAATCTAATTCTAGTCAGGAGACCAATTCTTACTTGCAGATTGCTTCTAAAGAGCCAATAGAGAGGAGTTATGTGACAAAGGAGGTAAAGAAATTAAGCTAGTAACTTGATAGAAATAAAACACCTGTCATGGGATAAGAAATATCAGCTATCATAGTTACAGAAGCTGCCTGCAACACCATATGAGTAGGAGAGTGTTGGGAAAATTATCTCTTTGTTCCCTGGTATGCCTTTCTGGCCCCAGTCCTCCTTTTGCAGTCACAGGTTGCCAGTCAAGGTGCTTGCAGTCGTGGCAGGAGAGCAGCTGTGGGAGAAAGAGTACATCCATGCCCACCAATGGAGTCACTGCCACAAGGTTTTGTACCCCCCTCGGAGCAAACCTACCCACCTCGTATGCAGCAGACTCCCAGCCCTGGCCATGTCCAGCTGGTTAAAATTGAATATATAGCCCAGAGCTGGAGGGAAGTGACTCATTTGGGGGTTGCTATGCCTTTCTTTGGGAAAGATGAGGACACACTGTGCTTTCGTCCCCAAGTCTGTCTGAGTAATGGAGGTCCAAGAGAAAAATGACAGCTCTCAGGAATTTGAGGAGCTGCAAGTTTATTGTCACAGCACTTACATGAACCTGCATCTTTTGAAATTTCACAACACTAACCCTGCCGAAACAAGGCTGACACCTCCTTTGCATAGTTAACCATCTCTAGCCTGTTCAGGCCAAGAAACAGAAAGTTTTCCTTCATGGGAACTGTCAGACCAGTGCTACCATCATGCCCTTTTTTGATTCAAACCCCAATCTCTCCCACAGTGTCTTTGCTCAGGTGCAGGGACCACCTTTTTTTAAAACAGTGCCTTAAAGAAATCACTAATGAACTGTCTTATGGAGGGTATGCTTCACCCAGATTAAAGAAAATCAACTAAGCCAGCATCCCAAAAAGGAACACATCTGCAGACCGTGAAAGAAAGCCAAACAAAAAATGTCAAATATTTCTTTGGATGCAGTTACTCTTGCACAACTCCTGCTCTACACAAAACCTATTTTTTCAAATCAAGAAGCTCCCAGGCAGTTCTAGCTCAACACCACTCTCTGCTCTTTGATTTATGTATTTGTTTTCTTTCTTCTTGCAAACCTACTGAGCTGTTTGTTTAAACTTCTTAGGACATGCTGTGGCATACATTATTTCTTTTGACTTTTCCATTATACCATACTCAGAACATTTAACAAATGCTGATTATCTATTCTAGTCTTTATCATGTGGCTTGCCTTAAGTGAGAGAAGGGTTTTAGGCAAGGTTAAAAATTCAGGTTTTCCATTTTTTGGTGCTACACTGAGGTCATAGAGTCACATGATTTCCTCTAAAGTAAATCAACATTCACCTTAATGAATCAACTGCTGCTGCATTTTGACTGCTGCAAAACCAGTTCACTATGCTCAACTACTTTAAAAAAATTATGTTTTCTAGAAAAACTGCAAGGTTTCTGTTACTTACTCGCTGAACTTTATGGATCACACATAGCTGAACTGTAAGTATCACTCTGTGCTCTCAGATTTTTGCTTAGTTTGTTCTTGACATGTACAGATATGCTGTCAGATTGAAGCGCAGGGATTTCACTCCTAAAATCACATTATCATTATTAAAGCAGAGGTGCTTCAGAGTGATTCTGGTTTGGCATTTGGCACAGTTATTCCTGAGTGAATAAACACAGGCTGCCACCAGTAACCATTTTGATATTCCATTTAAATCTCAGATCAGGCCCACCTGATGTAATTACCTTTTGAAATTCAGCTCATTTGGCTGAGGGAGGAATTTGAATAACCTGTATGTGTGAGACAGATTCTATAGAATCAAGCTGATGTTGCTTGGCTCTTGCTTTCCATTTTACCTTTAATCAGACTTTCTAATTATCAGCCCTTACATGCTCTCAGCCCTGACCTTGATTCACACTCTTGGGGAAGCCTACTATTTAATGTAAGTGATTAAAAAAATAAAATGTAGGTCACTTTATTCGTCTTTGAAAGTTCTTAGTTTAATTAACTGAGCTTTTGCTAGACCTTCCTCCTCCTTAGGGCTTTTATTTTTGTTTTTAAAACTAGTCAAGGGACTGCAAAGTGTTTACAGGACTAAGAAGCGCTATAATCAAACATTTTCATTTAATTCCTGATTAGCCCAGAGATGTATCCCAAAAAGAAAGAAAAAATTCTAGCACTCATGCTTGGTGATTAAAGGTTAAGGATCTTTGAAGGATTTCTCGTTATTTTGTGGAGTTAATGATTGAACATTCATATGTACTAAATTCTGTATGCATTAACCTTTGTCTTTGTCAGACTTATGATTGATTTAAAAACTAGAACAGTCACAATATATGTGATTCAGGTGCTGCGTATAAAGCATGGTGTTTTTTCATAGTCCTGGGATCCAATTTTAAATGCTGAGTAGGATGTCATGGCAGAAAATCATTAGAGCCCAACACTGTACTGAGCAGTGATTATGGGCCACAGTGAAGTGAGCTGAGATTATTGTGTAGTGTTGGGGAGATCTGGCTTCCCATGGAAATAGCTTCTACTTTCAAGCACCCAGAAGAACATAATAGTCTTTGTTTATGCACCATTTCCTTCAGCATAGCCAGGGAAATGAATGCTGATGTGGTTTGCCATTCCTTGAAGCTGTGTAAACAGGATCCAGGACAACCGCTTTGTCATCTCTATCCTCCTCCAAAGGTGAGTTGGTTTGACACTTTTTTTAAAACTACTGATTGTGGAACATCTTTTAAGCTGGAACTGAACAGTTCAGAGGCTTCCACTGCACGTGCATTGTCTAGGAAATGAACTTCAACATTTTGAGTGTGAACACTTTTAGAATGAAAAGTACATAACACGCATTAGTGGTGTGGACTATCCTCAACAGGATTGTTGTAGCGTGAGAGTCACAGGGCCAAATTCTCTTGTACCAGTCTGGATCAGAGAAGAAGAGTAGAGAAAATAAAATATCTCTTTCTCTGGACTTCATTGTTAAGCAGTAAAATAACCCCAAACCAGATACTCAGCTGAGGTTCATATATACCACTGCATTACCACGGCATGACAAGTGATCCCCGCATTGCCTGATCTGCAGTGACAGCCTGTGTAGGCACAAGTTACCTGCTGCAAATACAGGGCTATTAGACTTGGAGTAGTCTGCAGTGCAAGAGGTTTAAGCTAATGCGCATAATCTTTTGCCTCAGGCTGGAAACATATTTAATTACTACCACTTCTTTGATGTACAGTTACTTGCTATGACACTTGCATGTCCTTGATTGCATGTCCTAGACCTTTGCTACACTCGTACACATACATATCTGCATAGGTGTCTAAACATATACTGTTTGGTTTGGGATTCTTTTGTTTGTGGGGTTCTTTTCTTCCCAGTTATCGTGCATGTCCAGTCACACTAAAAGCTGCAAGTGATGGTGTTTGTTTGGCAGTGTTGAAAAGTAAGACACTCACTTAGGTATCTATTTTCGTAAATCTTTTTCCCTGCATCTGGGTGGAGAAAGGCATGTTTGATTCCTAAAGGTTTGTTTGTTTGATGTTTCACACAGGGTCTAATCCAACAGTCATTGAAATCAGTCAGTGTCTTTTAATGGGCTTCGATGAGCTGTGATTCCTCTCCATGATGGGTTTAGTTCTGGCAGTATTAAGATCTGGAGAAACATTTGCCTTCCAAGAATGGCAGTAACATTTGTTTTATAGCACGTGTGCATCCCATATGATTACTATGCTCCATGATATGCCAACATAGAGATATATGGGTGTTCAACCAGGCAGGGGTGAAAGAAGACTGGAAACAGCAGAGGGTCCACACTCACTCGACTCAAACAGGATGTTACCCAAATTTCATCAGATAGATTCTATGAGAAATCTCGCATCTTGAACTGAATGTCAGAAGTGCAAGGTGCCTCTTGAAGTGAAAGATGCAGACAATGAACCACACTTTAAGAGAGGGATGGAGTCTCTCTGGCCACACAGAGAGCCAGGCTAACAAGTCTGGAGAGAGGGGCTGTTTAAATCAAGGTGACTTCTGTGAAGTTATAACATCTGTCTTGCAATTCTTTGTCAATCAACCAGAAGGGAAAGGATCTTTGGTTAGCTCTTACCCATCTCTCAGAGCAAGTGTAGCACTGAGGTGTTGACTCCTTCCAGCGACAGCTTCAGTGAGTGCACTTTCTGCAAGGAAAACCACTGAACATGTTGGGTTTCTGGTTGGTTTTTTAAACCAAAATTTAGACTCTTGTTTGCATGGCCTGGAGAATATCCTTCATGCAGGGTTTGCTCATGCAAACCCTCTCCCCTTCCAAGTCATAGTTGGATCCCTTTCTGTCAAGGTGTATTTGTTTCTCATCAGGGAATAAGGGAACGGTGCCAACAAAACCAATTTTTTTACACTGACTGTGCCCTTTTTTTTTTTTGGCTCTCCTGGTGCCCTGAGACAGCATGAGGAGATGGGAGGAGAAGAGCAGTGCTTCAAGTTCATGCTCAAGTGGTTGATAAATTGCCCACAGTAACTGTGACAAGTCAGATAGAGTAAAGATGAATTTTGGGTGAAAAAAATTAATATACAATCAGAGACACAGATGCATAAAATGCAGTTTACCTCATATTTCCTTCCATCATTTGTAATTTGATTGATCACTTCAGTTTTATGAGCCTGCAAATGTTGGTGCAGTCCCCTGCCGAGTGTTTGAACAAGACTTTAATACTAATGACTGTTCTGTTCAACTCTATTGATTTTCAGGTACTTTGTTTGTTCATTTAGGCTTTTGGATGCCCATTTTCCCAGAATTAGTATCATATTTGTACTGGCAAAGGGAATAAAATAAATAGTTACCTGTCCTTGTAAGGCAGTATAATTTTCAGGTTTTAATTGCCTTTAAGGTGGAAAATATCAATGTGTAGCTGATTTTTCAGTCAGTACTTTATTTTTTTCTGCTTCTGTGGTGTTGTTTTAGTGACATTCTGTGTCTTGAGGAAGGAAGGGCCCCTGCTTCAGTGGCCCTGCAAACTACTTACTGGAGATATTACAGGCCATGTAAATGATAAGTGCATCATACTATATACTTCCCTGGTGTCTGACAAATTAGCCCAAATTAATTTTTTTTTTACCAAGCTGCCTGAAGCCATTAGCACTCTGTGATTATTCTAGGAGACTTTGCTGTAATTATGAATAAAAAATATTGCTCCATTCACACAGAGCTCAGTGCTCTCAGTGCAGAGCTGGAGGAGGAGAGCATCCAACCGGGCAAAGGCAGCTCTGTTGCAGTGTCCCCCTGGGGTCTTGGGCAAGGTGGGCTGCTCTGCTGGTGGGCAGTTTCAGGACCAGACCCCTGATGTTGGTGGGGAAAAACGGAAGAAGCTTTTGTGGCTCCTGGATCACCAGTGTGGCTGTGTGATCAGATGTCACTTGTACCGGGGTCCTGTGAGCCCCTTCTTGCCTCCAGTGGCTCATGGAGGGTCAGGGATGGAAGTGCAGGTAGATTTGCATGCATAGGCTTTCCCACTGCATGTTTCTTGTCCAATGAGAGGTTCTCCTCTACCCTTAAGTAGGAGGGTGGCAACACTGGGGACTCCTTCAAGTAAAGAGACAAACAAATAGGGCAGATCAAAAGTGTAGGTTTAGTAAAGGTAGCCGAACACTAGACAGTATCTAAAGCTGCTTTAATGTGTTTTAAGATACGTCTGTAATATGTCTTGTGGTTTAAGCCACATCAACAGCAGATATTCTAATATGGGCTGCAGCATCATTCCAAAATGCTGACAGTGGTACAGGCATCCAAGACAGGTTGACTGGATAATGTTTTAGCAAAAAATATTTATCTGCTCATATGGTGGAAGACTCTCTGCACTAGGTCATGTAATACAGTGGTGTTCCTCTAGTGAGCAAAAAGGCCTGAAATAGGGTGAAGGGTTTTAGGCACTGCCTACCAAGTTTTCCTTCTGGCCCTGGGAGCAAACAGGTTTGCAGGAGATTACTCTCAGCTTGTCTCTAGATTGCTTTAAGCCAGCTGGCCTGTTCAGTTAAATGGCAATACTTTAATTGATTTTGTTGGGGCCAGAATAATGGCTGGACTTCAGCACTGTAGTCCTGCTCTGGCAATTTCTAAAGCAATCTTTGTTGGAAGGAGCTTGTACTCTTCTTTCTGCCTTTCAGGGTCCCTTTTCTGCTGCCCATCACTTTTCTACTCCTGATTATAAGAGACCTTGTGGCTACAGATTTTGCAATTTTCTGCAATAGGATTTTGACAGAAGTCATCTTACATCAGCAGTAGTACACGTATTTATGTTATTATTATTTTATCTTAAAAAAATAACCATCAATTCCACAAGCACTCATGCTGGTTCATGTGCCCTCTATCAGGTCTTTGACTGACTTTGCAAAAGGCAAAAGCCCCCTCATGGATATGACTGTGGCCAGCATGCTCTTTGACAAAGTAGGAGCCAACCAGTTCTGGGTCAAAAAAGGAAACCCCTTGGGGTGTAATAAAATAAAAATACTCCTGCTGTTTTCTTTCATTCCTCTCTGTCAGTAAAAATGTGAGCTGCCTCCTGGGAGATGAGGCAGAACCAAACTCCAGGGTGGGAGTGCTTCTGCATTCCTGATAAGAGCAGGTTTCCAGTCAAAGGTAGATCTCGTGACTGGGTCCTGTCTCCTTTTTTTGAGACCATAGGCAGTAAAACAAGCATCTGGGAGGCAGGGTAGGTCCTGTGGAGCAAGATGTCCTCCTTTTAGCCTTTTTTTTTTGGAAATGGGTACAATCCACTGAAATGTGAATCGTTTCTCCTGCAGTCAGAACTGAGCTCTGAAGAAACTACCAATAGACAAATGATAGCAAAAGGCACAATTTGAGCACTAATTCCTATTCTTTCACTTGTTTCTCAGCACTTCCTCTGCTCCTCTTCGCTAGCATAAAATAAAATAAAATAAAATTAACCCTACCCCAATTGAAAAACCAAACAACCCCAAAAAGCCAAATCACACAACCCCAACTTTCCACCAAATAATCCAAAGGAAATAGGGTAGCATAAGAATTGCAGGGTGCTGCATGCAGTTGCATCATGCTGATGTAGAAGCTGCCACAGGCAGGACCCTTGAAAACAGGTCTCAGGTGACTCACAGGCACAGAGGCATTTGGCGTGGGAGGTTGGCAGACAAAAACGTGAGGACAAGAAAGAATTGCTTTTGAACAAATCCCACTTTTGTCACTGCCATTTAACACTGACAAGTTTTGCAGATTTTTCGTATCTCGGTACTCTTCGTAAAAGGATGATGAAATGAGTTAGAAGGGAAACTTGGAGTGTTTTGTAAATAACCACGCTCCTGGGAAAGAGCTGGCTAACAAGGGTGATAAATGAGAGACAATTAGATTTGGTTCATGCATTTGTTTATGACAAGAAATACATTTGTTTGCCAAAAAAAATCATTACTGGGAATGCGTGGTCTCTGTGGAAAGCATTGAAAGAAGGCAGTGAATGAAATCCCAGTGCCCCCCCGCCCTCATCCCTGTCATGGTGTGGGTATGTTGGGGTGGCAGGGCTGCACCAGTTTGGGCAGGTGGTGCTGCCTTCTCCCCAGGACTGCAGCACACCCTCTGCGTTGCGGCTGCAGCTTCGCCATCAGTTGCTGGAGCCTAGGGAGCCCCCTCACTGGTGGTGTTCTCATGCCATGGGAAAGAGAGGAGGCTCCTTGCTAACCAAGATGCAGCAAGAGAGGCTGTGTGGGTTGTATGGCCTTCAGTGGCAGGCTTGACCCGCTGGTGTCAGCCAGGGATTACAAGTGACCCATGAAACCAGGAGTGTTTCCTCCGGGGTGGGTGTATCAGCTGCCAGTCTTCCATAGCCCAACCTGGAGTCTTGGCTGAAGTAACTTGTGAAGTGAAAGAAGGTCTCATACTTAGCACTTCAGAGAGACAATTTTCTACATGCAAGGTCAATTCAGCCTTTCCTCCCTTGTTTTCTGCTTTCTGACTGCAGTATTTCTGTAGCTGTCTGAAGCATGCATTTCTCATGTGCTGCTGCTGTGAGCAAGCAAGGTCTCTCCCACTCTGACCGGTAGAAAAGGAGTGATAAATCCTACCTCTCTGGAAATATTCCATCTATTATACTCAGTTTTAAGCCATTTTCCTCATCTACCTCTCAAGTTATTTTATTGCAGAAATGACAGCAGCTGGTATCGTGCAACGTAACTATGGCAAATGTAAGATGCATAATTGGTTTTAGGGACAGCAGTTGTTGCCCAGGGGGAAGAAACTAGAAAACAATGGCTCAGTCCTAGTGTCCCTCATCTATTTGTGACATACCTTGATTTTTATAAGACTACAGACAGCATGAATTAAACATATATTAACTACATATATTAAAGTGACATGTATATTAAACCCCAGTAACTTAGAAGTCTGTGTTCCTTGCTGCTTATGCTTATTCTTCTGTGTCCCTTGGATTGTTCAGTATAAATTTTTGACTCCTGAATATCATGGTTAATTAATTTGCTTTGATCACTGCCTAAATCAATTATAATGACATGCTAAATTTTATCCCCAGTAAAAAAATGTTGATAATGATTACTTTAAATGCAAATATATTCTGCTGTAATATTCCTAGCTGGCATGCCCACTCTTCAGTAAGGTGCCATCACTCGAGGGATATTTTCTTTTTTTCCGAATGCTTTAATATTACCACGTGGTGAAGCATACTTTTTGCACCCGTGTTGAGTTCCTGTAGCTCTATCCAGAGAAACATAAACCTGGTTAGTGTTAGGCTGGTAGTTATGTCCTTAGGCTGGGCTGTAGGAGGGACTGATGGCAGGTCATTGTCAGACAGAACAGTTTGTCCTCACTAACAATTTTGAGCAGACACTAAGTGCTAACATGTTTGTTATACTCTGGATTTGCCTTTCCATTTGAAACACTGTCACAAGTAATTTATTTTTATCTCCATTTTTTTGTTCTAGGGTGGTTTTTTTACCAATTCTCAAACCCTATATAACATAAGTAGTTATTCCTTCAGAAAGAGAGCAAACAGGCTGTGTTTTCAGCCTTCTTCACTCCGAATGCTAAAGGGAAGGACAGAGGCCATGACAGATATGACTGTTTTCAAAGGTGGCCTAATAAATGCAGGACAGCATATAGGAATTGTCATCACTCATATACAAGAATATTGTCCTAAACTGAAAATGGAGCAGCAGAGGGGAGCACACTGGTGTTACCCTGACCCTCTCAGACTCCTGTGACTGTCTTTTCTCTTTTTTTTTTTCCCCTAAATTAAAGTTGTGAGATCTTCCTTTCTTACGGGAAGACGTGGCTGAATTTAGAAAGTGCTGTTCATCAGAGCTGTTAAACTGTTGTTAAATATTTTTGACTGCATGAGCATATCTGGGGCATCTCCCCGCCTCCATGACCGGGAAGAGTCCTTGTGGCAGAAGAACCAGTATGGCCTTCTGTGCTTTGATGCAAGACAAACTTCTTAAGGCTAGAGTCAACGCTTAGCTGCATGGTGCAGAAACAGCCTGCCCTCGCTTCCTTCTCATGGCTCAACATTTAGCCAGGCAGGACCCACGGCAGTGGATTGGCGGGCTGCAAAAATGTATTGGTTGAGGTTTTTGCAACGGCAGAGCCTCAAGCAAGGCTTTGAGAGCAGGACCATGGCAGTGTTGGGCAGTTCCCGGCCATGGCAAGTGGCCATCGGTGTGCATTTGGCCACAGCCTTGCAGCACCACACACGGCACATCTGTCCTCCTGCTGCCAGCAGTGCTGGACCCTGGCTGTCACCCACGCTCATAGATGGTGCTCCTTGCACAAAATTTCCTTTCCTCCTTTGAGGAGCATGTGTGTAAAGGGATTTGAGGAATTATTTGGGCATCACTTGTAGTTGACTTCTTTGTAACCCACGGCCTTATGACGCCCAAACTGATGATGCCTTTCCAAGGTATTTTCTTCCAATGGTTCTCCCACTCTTCCTTTCTATGTAGGTGTAAGTATCCTCAGTTTGGAGGTACCCCAAAATGATTCTTCAGCACAAGTTGTCATGGACACAACAGAAAAATTATCTTCCCACTGTCAGCAAGAACTTGCCCTGCAGGTCAGGTATTTCCAGAATAAAAAGCTAACCTTCCTAGATCCTAGCCAGGAGAATTTCCTTCCAAACTCTTTTCCCTGCTTTTTACCTTCCTGCATGCCAGCTGTTCCCCTGCTGGGATGAACCTCAGCTGAGTATAACCCTTATGCATGCAAGAGCGAATATTTCATCTGTGCCCTTCCACAGCAAGTCAGACTGACATTACATGTGTAACCCTCTTTTAGCCATCTAATGGATGACTTGTTCTTCAGGAGGAGTCACCAGAGAAGTATGTCCTCTGCAGCTCACACAGTGCAGTCAGGATATGAATTTCAGCTGATCTGGACTTTTACTTAGGAAATAAATGATGCCCTGGAGCAAAATAAATGAACTCCTGCAACTGGAGTTTCATAGAGTGTGACTGGATAATTGATTGTTAGTCCAATAAAAAGTAACTGATGAGGAGTTTGTGGACTCATACATCATTTTTGTGCTGTGACTGATATATTAAAATAGAAAAAAAGGTAGGAAATAGGAAGAAAAGTTGGTGGGATACTGTGAGGTTGATCTGGTTGTTTTTCATTTTGTTCTTGCTCCCCTAGGTAGGACTGAGAACCGCAATAAAAAAGGCAAGAAGAATTATGAAGACTTCCAAGGACCTGGTAAGAAATCAATGGCATTAGGGTGTTTTACACTGTACTTGCATTTTATCAGGAGTGAGTCCTTTTTTATTTTGTATGACTGTGAATCCTTCTGAATTGAATGCTGACTCACTCCTACCTGGCACAGGATCTGCTCTGTCAGGTGACACTGGGAAGAAGGAGAGGGAGAAATAGAGAAGAAATATGAAAGCATGGGGAGAGCAGAAAAAACCCTCATGAAAACGCAGATTGTTTGCAGAGAAGGGATAACAATCTATATCCATATCTGTCCAAGACATAAATTTATGTCTAAAATGCATGCAGCAATCAGCATCTCATCTATGAGCTCCATAATACATCTTCACACTGAGACGCTTGCTTTTACTGGCCCAACATAAGAATTTCCCACTCAGACTTACCCTGTGTTTTTCCTTCATTCCTCCAAACTTCTTGCAGTGTTTATTATTGCTCCTCTTTTTTTTTGTGCTTCTTCCTTGACCCTTATTATCCCTGCCTTGCCCTTGTAGCAGTATGTAAGTGGATGTCTTATGAACTGAGCCACTGCCTTACAGCACAGAGTGCGCATTTTAGGGCTGTCTGAAGCTCGAGAAATGGTCTGAATGCAAATTCTGCATATTTTTCCTTTATTTGTGAGAGACTGCCTTTGTCTGTTAAACTTGAAAATTAGGATTTGAAATCTTTCTGCCTCCAACAGTTTTCAGATTTGTAGAAGATCTCTAAAGGGTAGTAGAGAAGGGAGGGGCAGCTTTTATTCTGGTGGGTTCACTTAGGTGAGTCAGCTCAGCCACAGAATTTACTTCCAATTGTCTTCAGGCACTTAATGCAGAGCAAATGTTTTAGCTGTTTGTGATGAAATTATTGGTATTGCTTCTTCCTGATTCCTTACTGGGATGCTACTCACAAAAGTGAAAATTGAGGTGCCTAACTAGCCTTTGGGCAATTGCCAAATTGCCAAGCCAGAGAAATAAACAAAGCACTGGAGAGACAGGTCACACCTCCCACGGAACAGCAACCAGCAGGATCTTATTAATTTTCCTTCCTATTCAGTGCTGTGCTACTGATGGCCTGAGATTTCTGCTCAAATTACATTAAATTTCTAATCCCCTTTCCTTGGACCAAGTCCCCATGTTAATACCTGCAGCAAGATGCTCTGAGTCAAGCAGGTCCTCTCTGTTAGCCAGAGAGCAGCTTCAGGCTTGGGAGTGCTGTCCCCCAGGACATTGGGCTCCTTCGCTCCCTCGCACATGTTTCTATCCTTGGCACATTGGGCTGCATCCCTTGCATGGCCATGTCTGGCCTTTGTAGGCTCTCCTGGATAGGGTGGCATGGTTGGCATCAATCTTTGGGTGCAATAGGCTCTCCCATTTTGCCTCTACTCTCCCGTATCCTCAAAGCTGCTCCCAAAAACTCTCTCAATCTCCATCACAACACTCTTGGCCCTTTCTTGCTCCTAGCTGCCCATTTGCCAGCAGGAAGGACAAGTAGACTGTGTCCCATCTAGAAGCAGCACAGTCATAGTTGGGTTTCTCCAGTCAATGTATTTCTAAACCTCCATAGCTGCACAATACAAGGTCAGCTCAAATTAAAACAAGTATCAAGTGTTTGCTTGAGTCTCTCCTGAGGTTATTCCTAGTGTACTCCCTGTAATGAGCCTGGATAAAACTTATTTTAAACGTGGAAAATTAAAAATAACAACATTTCTAGAAGCATTGCTGTATCTCTCAATTTCCCATTCACACAGATTAAAGTTATTTTGAGATCCAGAAAAACAATATAGTGAGAAAGACAAAGGAGAATCTCTAGGAGAGAGCACAGTATGGATCCTACTTGCATGAGTCATGTATCCCAGAGAAGCAGCATGTGATGAAATAGTAAGAAAATCACCTGCCCAGTCTGAACACTGCTGTATCATGGTCTGTTCACCTGCACACACAGATACACATGGTGGTGAGAGCTGAGGAGCTCTCCCTGCTTGGGAAGAGGATCACCTGGCTGAATGTGTGGGTGAAGATCCAGAAAAACCTCATCTGTGGTAGGACACCACTGCACCCACATCAGCAGAGAGAGAAAAAGATTCACCTGGCCTCTTTTATGCTCTGGTTCATGCTAGACCAAAACATCAAATTATATCTGTTCATTCTTCCCATATCTGCTGTTTTGGTTGCTTTTGCCCCATTGCATGTTCGGGGAAAGCCTTCTGAAAAAGTTCTTGCAAGTTAGTTGTCCCCATCTTGGCTTGGCAGCTGTGTGTGACTGCATAAAAAAAGGCATGATTATGGATGTTGGTAATGAGAATGGGAGGTCTATCTGGATCCCAGGATTTACTTGGAATTTCTGTGGATCACTGTGAGTTTAGGAAAAAGAAAAGATACTTGAGTAATTGTGCTGGTTTAAGAGTTAACCAGCAGGGGAAATGAACCCAACTCAAAGGAGAGATTATAAAGTCAGAATAACAATTTATTAAAATAATACAGTAAGTACAATCATACAAACAAACAATTGGTCTTAACCCACAAAACCCAAATATATAACCCAGTACCCTGGGGCACGAACAAAAGTGGTGTTCCTTGGGCCCCGCTTGAGTCCAAAGTAAAGGGAGAGGGGAAAAACCTGCTGGTGGAAGAGCTGTTGCAGTCTGGTCAGAAGCGGTGATTGCAGTCCAGCTGAGGTTGAGAGCGATGAGCTGCAGTCTTCCTCTGGATCCCACGAGTGGTTGAAAAGTTCTGAAACTCCAGGTTTATATATTCTCTAGTTCAGGCAGGAATGGTCAGTACTTCACTCAGGGAGTTCCATAAAAGGTAAGAGCATCCTCCTATCTCACAGGCCTCTTAACACCTAGTTTATAGCCTGAGGAGTCAGGCTCTTATGGGCAGAGGGTGCGAATAGTCTATTGACAACAGTTTCTGGGAAATGGCATGGAAGGCTATAGAATACACAGTTTTGGGTTACACCCATACCATGATGAACTCAGCTATCCTAACTAGGACAGTAATGTAGAGATGCAATGAAATTGGCTACAAACCCAAAAGATTCTAATAAATGTCTCCATTCATTAAAAGGAGTGAGCCATCTGCAAGTGATTGGCTTAAACCAAACACCAACAAGCATTAGGGGCTCATTGTTATTCTTTTTAGTAAAAGCAATTAAAATAATTACAGAAATGCCATTAGGGAACATTAACAGGCAAGGAATAAAATATTAGTGTTATCAATCACTGTGAGCACCTCTAGTGCTAACTTTTTTTACGGGGGGAGAAGATACTAAGGGGTATCTTTGAGCAATAGTGGTGAACAAATGGTGAATAGGGTTGTGGCTGTAGCATTTAGTGAGAGCAGGCACCATGCATACAACCCTGCCACGACTATGAGGTCCCTGCAAGTCACAGCCTGGCAGTGGGAGAAGTGGGAAGCCAAAGAGAATTGTCGGGATTAGGAGAGCATAAGCTAATTTCCCTGTGTCCCACTCATGTTACACAGGGGCAAGTAATCCATCTTCTCTCAGAAACTCATACTCCAGTTGTAGCTTGTCTCTGCTGGGAAGGACCCTATAGTACCTGCTCACACAAAGATTCTCTCTTTTTTTTAAACCTGTATTCCTTTACGCCTTTTAAGAGTAGCCTGAGACACCACACTCCTGCACAACCCCAAGCAGAACTAAAGCATTACCTTCAGACCTCACTGTCCCACCTGCTGTGGGAATGCATAGGCTGGGGAGCCAGAGGCTGTTGTGCTCCAAAATACTGCTGCAGTAGCTCCTCAGCATCGCCCACACCCATTCCATGTCACCAACACACAACCATTCCCACCAAAGTTAGGCGGTCTCTGGTCTTCCTTTGAAACTCACAGAGATCCAGTCAGCAACAATTTTGAAATGATTGGCTGAGAAAAAGGCAAGAAAAAATTTATGCTACTTACAGCAAAGGGTAGACTTTAAGTGCAGCCTGTGAGCAGAATGAAATGAGATTTTATTTCTGTATTTATTTCTTGCAAGCCCTGTAGTTTGTCTTTCTGGTGCAGTTTTGGCTCCAGGTGCTTTAACTTCAAAGGCTTTGCATACTGTGACTTAGGCTGAAGTGAAAACCTGACAGCTCAGATGAAGACACTGCAAATCTTAGCCTGATGGAAAGCTTTAAGAGCGTCTACTGCTTCTGTAGGCAGGATTAGTCCTGCCTGAAGGAGGTGGGAGAAGTGATTTCTTTCCTCTTTCCAGGAAGGTGTACATGGGTTTTCAAATCTCTTTGAGAAAAGCTGGCATCCTGCTTGTGCACCTCTCACACTCTCTGCCTACCTGATCATACTCATGTATGCACACACAGAGAGCAAAAAGGAGGTCCGTGTCCCTGCCATGCTGCAGGACATAACCCCAAGGCAGTGAGTAGCTTGAATACAGAGGTGCAGCGGGATGGGGAAGAGCACATGGCAGCTGAAGTCAGAGCAGCCTGACAAGATTGGTCTTTCAGCTCAAGAAAAGGTCCCACTCCCTGGCTGGTTTTGGCTAATTCTCTCTGCTTCTTCTGTGATTGTGTTCTGGTTTCTCCTTTCACTCTACCAACACCTTCTCACTCCCAAGCTTTGTCATTTGAGTGTGTTGGACAGAGATGAGGAGAATTAATTGGTGGGTTTCTTTTGGGTTTCTTGTCTCATCTCCCTGACTTTCCTCTTTTTTTTCTCCTTTGATTTCACTTTTGCATCCTTCAGTAAGTGCACTGTCACAGTTCCACCTCCACTGCAGATCTCTCCTCCTGCTCCTTTTCAGTGGTAACTGAAAAAGGTACCACTCTTTTTCATCTTCATCTTGCTGCTTGGTCATTTCAGCCGCCACTGCAAATGTTGACTACAATCTTTGCACTAGGGGCTCTATCCCCTCTTCACTACCCCAGCCCTCCTGTCCACATTGAGATCCTGACTGTGACACACTCCTGTGGCTGACCTCCTGCTCTGGGCAGTGTGATACCCTTATCTCCATCACCCCTTGTTACCTGTGCGAGCAAACACCTTTCCTGGAACTGTAAGGCAATGCCCTACACACCATGGCCCACTGGTTCCCTGCCCTGCAATGCTACCTCAAGGTTCTCCTCTGTCACTCAGAGCTTTATACACTGCAGTTACTGCCCCTCATGGTGAGTAATAACCTTTCATTGTCCTATCCTGAGTTGTATCCAGCCTTTACCTTCTGTTTTACACTGGGTTTAATTGTAATGTCTTTAGGGTGAGGACTATCTTACTCTTTTTCTCTGTGTATATAAAGTACGTAACATGAGGCAGTTGGTCCAAGGACAGAGCTTTTAAGTGCTATGTCTATATAAATAATTACCCTTCTTTGCATCAAGTTATGATTATGCCCATCTGCTCCATATTTACATGATAAATGTAGCCTTAGTGAATACAGTTAATTAGGCTGTGCACCGACTAGCCCTCTGTATTTATAGACCACTTGAGCACCCTCAGTGTCTAAAAACCACCTGAACTTACAGTGAAGCCACATGAGCAGCGTTTGTGGGATTCACTGCCAATGCAGTGCAATATTTCCGTTCATTAGGAAAGTCTCTTTCAGCTTCTGAAACTTCCTGGCTAACTGGAACATGAACTGGATTGGCCCCTGGCAGTGGTCTACTAATGCTGAAAGAGTTTTTCCAGCAGCAGCTGTCTTTTACAGCTTCCAGGTCTGGCCAAGATAAAATATAGTTACAAGATTTCCAAGTAAAATCTCATTAAAAATTCAAAGGTATTCTCTGCATGTTCTGGATCGTCCTATTTTTCCTCTCTTTGGGGTTGTTGGCCTATCCACTCCTCCCTGAGCATGTAGAAACAAACCTCATGGCTCACAAAGTTTTCACATTGTGTCAGAAAGCATCATGTTTATCAAACATGATGGTAATTTTTTCAAAGAATGAGAAAGTAAGTTTGGTACTCGAGAGGAGACACTTTCACAGGAACTTTTTATTCCTTTTTAGTTTATAGGTCTTTGAAAGCAGGAGTCTAAATATTCTGGCATGTAGCCTCCTTAATGGCATCACTGGAGTTTTTAGATGTTTCTAGGCAGAAAATACGTGGTTTAGCTCTGTAATTTACTGACACTGAATATCCTAAGGTACACCACCTCTGTGAACTAATACACCCATCTTTTTGTTATTTTTCTTCCTCTCCAGAAAAGCTTCATGGGGTTCTCAAGTATTTGTACATTTCCTCTTCTGGCTAACCTGTGTGAGAAGATGAAATAGTATGTATAAAATTTCAGTCCTTAACCACAAACAGATTATGGTACATTTGCTTCTTTCAAAAGTCGTCCTTAGTTAACAAAGCTTCCCACACTTTACTTATGTTGGTTTCCTTCATAAAACCACTGTCTACGTAGTATAGAGGGAGGTTGCAGAGAAATCAGGCAAGTAAGTTTCCTCCTAGGGGTCCCTGTGATTTTTTCAGTACTTAAATTATTTGCTTTTTTTCCAGCATGTCCCAAAGGTCAAATATGTGACACACTCACAGATGTGACATTTCCAAAAGGGAGCCACCTTTCTGTCGAGATTTCCTGAGCCCAAGAGACTTCTCCACTTCATTAGTTCACCCAGTTGTGGTGCCCATGGCTCAGCACAGGAAGGCCACCAGCACCCATATAACTGTGTGAGGAACATGAATTTAATGTCAGTTGTGAAGTGTAGAAGAATCTCAAGACAAGAAAAACCATTCATGGCAGTGCTGACTTTGAATCAGTTTCTGAGAAAGACCAAGGACGTGAGCTGGGATATTACTCCTAAAGCATATTTGTAAATGTAGTCCAATGACTTGGAGGAAGAGTCAAGTAAATCTACATCAGTATTATAAACTGTATATTTGACTGAGGCAACTGCCAAGACTAACTTGGCACCTATTCACCTAACTCAACTATTTCTGCTCATTTAATTGAAACTGCAAATATCAGGAGTTTATTGGGAATGGGTTGATTGACATGAAATAGCTTGTAAATGCCTTTGAAATGTTAGTCAGGACACATAAGCTGAGTTCGAACCCTCTGAGTTCAGACAGTGGAAGCCGGAATCAAATTGTATATCATATGTTGAATCAAACATGTTCAACTCTTCTGATCTCTCCCTCATGAGCTCTCTCTCACTCTCTTTGGTTTTTCACTTTTCTCTCTCTATAGCTGCAAAAAAATGTTTCTCAATTGGACTTTTTTAGTGGTCTAGACTTGTGCCAGTTCCTTGCAACTGAACCTTACTGCAGAGAAGTAGCCCAAACAGTGTGTCGGAATTATTGATTACGGACTCAACAAGGTTGACAATCACACCCACAAGTGCATGTCACCAGTCTCCTCTACATTTTTTCTTATCCTGATGCTTCTGCAGCTTGAGGAATCCACACCCATTGCACCTATTTGCTCTCTCAGCCAGGTCCAACATCTCTTACAAACTCAAGAGTTTGGAAAAATTTGAAAAGAAAACTTTCCAAGGAAAGATTTCATTTTAAGATTGCTGCCTGCTGGCCTAAATATAAAAGGCTGCTCAACATAGGCGAGCTAAGCGATGTCCCATAGCCAAAGAGAAATACCGTGCTTGGGCAGCACCATGTGAAAGCGAGCACATGCCCAAGCTAAAAAGGAAGGGGCACAGGGCTGACACTATCATTTTAACACCTGTTTCAGGTACTGCTAAAACCTATGGGATCTCTGGAAACAAAAGTCACAAAGAAAAAGAAAGAAATGTAATTTTCAAAGGTTAATGTAATTAGGCAGTTAGTCTCCATCAGCATGAGATCCATTCTGCAGATCTTTCCCAGGGAGAAGGGCCTTCATTAGCATTTTGTATCTGACAGGTTTGCAAGGCCTGCAAGTGTTGAGTGTAGTATTTATTTCCAAAAAATTTATACTCACTTTTACCACAGATTTGATGTCCTAGTTTGTTTTAGAGACTGCAGGTTTGACATTGCAGCCATACAGGATTCCATCAGCTTCACCTACAGATTTCAGTCAGCAGGTATTGAAAGAAATGAGAATTTGTTCTTTTGGACAGGATCACTTTGCTGAAGTGCAAGCACAGAGCTAAAACTGAATATGGAGCAGTGAATGACATGCCAGTTATTATCTATTCTGTATGCTTCATTGTGTTTTTTTACTTTCTGAATAGGTTCCCTTCCATATGTTAACACTATGTTTGTTGTTTTTGTTTTTTACAGTGTTATAAGAAATAAACTGCCTTTTGAAGATTTTGATGGAGATAAATTTAGTACTTTCCCAGTAAGCAAAGCCTTTCTTTTCATACACTAATCCCTTGATAATGAGGATGTCTATGGGATTCCTCTTACTTTCTGCAAAGCCTTATCCATTCGTGTGAAAATAGGTATAGGAATAAAGTGAATGGATGGGTTTTTATCATAAAATGTGGGGATTTTTCTTGGATGAAAAAGCAATCATTCATTTATGCCACCTGGGGAGATGCACACATAAAGCTGTGCTCCCTGCAGAAGCAAATTGCTCTGCTGCTGAGTGGTTTGTTTACTGAATTAATAAGAGGTGAAGCAAAGTCATATTAAAAAAAAAATTGCCAACTTGTCTTATTTCTGCACCAAAGCATGCAAGGTGTCATTTATTAAAGCTTAGCAAAGGGACTCCAGAATACAACCTGTTTACTGGGTTTTATTCTTACACCTTTAGTTAGATTCTCATTTTAGATACTTTAAATCGAAAGTGCAAGAGCAATAATGACTGTCCTATCTGTGTGCTTCTCCTGGCCTTCAGACTTTGAGGGGCTATCACTGGCGTGGCAGAGACTGCAATGACAAAAACACCAGTGTGTATCCTGGCAGACGGTAAAGCTTTTAATTGTTTTAAAGGCTTTCTAGTGATTGTGGCTTCTTGAAGAATGAGCTCAAGATTTTATTTTGGCCATATTCTGAGATAGCACATCACTGCTTGTTGCTTGATTTCAGTGTGATAGAGACAAGAGGGGATGATCAAGATTAGGGGTGGGGCACGTTTGCAGGGGTGGTGCACAGGTTTCTTTCCTTTCTCTGAAGTGTCTGCAGCCAAAGGTGGTCAGATGCACCAAATGTGGAGGGAGGAGGGGAACCATGCTGCTGAGGCTTACAAACCTTATTACACCTGAGCTAATGCAGGCTGTGCCTATTTTAGGGAGCAGCAGGGTGGGAGTGTGAAACAGTGGTGCTCATGGCTGGCTGCTGACCTCCAGCATCCAATCCTCATGGTTTGTGGAAATGTAGGGCTAAATATGTACCCTTCTAAGTGAATACCTTCTGGGTGCATACCTCCCAGCTGCCTGAGCATGGACTTTTATGGAGACCTGGAACAGAGAGCACAGCCAGTCCTACTGGTCTGGCCTTGCTCTGTTGCTTTTGCTATTTTACCTTTTCAAAAACACAACTCCCCTCTACCATGGTTTTACTAAGAAGTTGTTAACCAGGACTGGTTTTAAAGCATAGATATTAACCAGTTTGTGACCAGATAAACTGAGATTAAGGGTATGGCCTGAGTAGCAGACCTGCATCAGCAGAAATGGGCTTACAGAGTCCTGGATAGATGGATATTCAGAGACTGAATATATGGAGTTTTCCTGCAAGAGAGGCCTGCGCTAATCATACTGTTTTATGGGCCAAAGAAAATCCTCATTACCCTGCACTGAATTTGGAGTGAGGGGCTTGGTGGATTTCAGTGAACGCTTAAAGGGGCAGGGAAAAAGGTCTGTCTTTTCCAAGAATCACCCCCACAAGCTTCGGCTAAGTGCATATACAGACTGAAAGGATAAGTTTCATTCAGCAACTTCCAGGATTAACTTTAAATTAATATTGCATTTTGCTGGCAAAAATTCCTCTTCTGGATTCAAAGGAGGAAAACCCCCACCCTTCCACGCAGAAAGGAATTTCTAATTGCTTTTTATTGAGGAAAAATGACACTAAAGATCCAATTTCCTCAAAAGCCCCTTTTGCTTTATTTTCTGTAACACTGTTTATCCCTTTGTAACTCTTTTTTAGTCCTGATAACTGGGATGTGAAAAGTGACTCTAACTGCAATGGCATATGGGTAAGTAAATGAAGTTGCACCTTCTTGATTGCTGCCTCTCTTTTTCCCTTCTTTTGAAATAGCCTGCAAATGTTTCTTTTTTTATTTATTTTGGTTTATTAACTGATTTGGATTACTCTTATTTTTTTGCTGCCTTTGATATTCCAAATAATAGAACCATTTATTAAAAACTAAGCAAAAAAGAGAAGCAGTTATGAGTGAAGTTTGTTTATTGATACTTATGATTATTTAAATTATGGTTATTATAATTAATTTAAATATACATATTAAAATAATATGATGGAAAGCATCATCATTATGATGCAGTGCTTCGTACAGGTAAGCATTCAAGAAGAACTAAATTTCCAGCCTCTGTTTTGCACTGCCACTCTTCAGGTGCTAGATAGCTACTATCATCTCTCCCCTCCAACAGGGTGTGGATCCGAAAGATGGAATTCCCTATGAGGAGAAATTCTGCAAAGGTAAATTTTTAGAGTTAATACAAGAAACAATGTCATTGACAATGCAGGGGAAAGGGATTTTAATGAGCTTTACAGCATCATGAGAAAGGCAAAATGGCAAAATTGTTGGATTTTTTTAATCCTGAGGGTGAGTAAAGAGGAAATGTGAAAAACACCAGCTGCTGGTAATCTCCTGTCAAAAGTAAGTTCAGTTACAAAGTTGAATACATAGATCAGGGACAGCAGCAAACAGAGATACCACCTCTGCATCTTCTGTGGAACCTGAAGCCTAACCCAGAGGGTTGGTCTGGAGATTTAGGGGAGCAGTTTAACATCAGCATTTGTCCAGTTTGACTCATTGCCATAAATACATGCTGATCCTTTTCCGGAGAAGGACTTACAGAGGTGACGGCATCAGCTGATCTCTCAAAGAGGTGAAGTGATGGCATCAGCTGATCTCCCTAACTGCGAGGTGGGTGGGTGCCTGTGTGTACACATCACACAAATAACAACTTCACAAAACAGCCCTGACTGCAGTTGCCACGCACCTCACCTTACATTTAAATCAGGGAATGAACCATTGCCTGGCAAGGCTTCTCAATATTTTTAGATGAAAGGCAATTTACAAATGCTAAGTAACATTAATTATAAACCAGACAGGATATTCTAGCAGAAATACTCATATGAGTAGCACATCCACCACCCAGTTCTGTTATAAGGAGCTTTGAGCAATTTTCTGAGTAATCCGATTTCCCTAAATGTTTAAGTACTTTTTAATGCATATTCTATGGATAGTAAAAATAAACATTGGCTGCACAGCAGAACCTCTGCTGAAATAACATACAATTTGAATATAACTAGGATTTTTTCTGATTAGCAAGACCTCTTCCTGTTTTTCATGCCCAGTTCCCACTTGTTTCTTTATGGCTGATGGCAAACGCCTGCTAGACATTTTTTGCTGCAGATGGAGTGAAAATCCTCTTTCAGGGTCTGAACATTTAAGCCTCATGAAGAGTGGTATAGCCAGTCACCCCGTGACTCCCTCAGCTGCCACGGCTGTTCTTCTTTAAGCATCGCTCTCCATGCTCGTTTTCAGTTTGCTCTTTCTGCTCATGTGACTAATAAAATGCATTAATTAGGTGCAGACTCACAAGGGGTCGTGCTGTTGGGAGACTCGGCCGGCGCTCACTTCCATATCCCTCCCGAGTGGATGACTGTCACGCAGATGTCAGCGGTGAGGAATCACATTCAGGTTGCCAAAAACACTGTGCCACTGGTTGCCATTTGCTTTGTCCCCTATGCTGCAGGTTGCCAATGGGAAACAAGTGCAAAATGCTTCATTGCAATGGAATTTATAGTTATGGGTTCACGTGTATCAGTCCCCTCCTGCATCTGCTGTTATGAAGATAAAAAAACAGCCCTGTGCTACTGCCGGTCCTCCGACATCTGTGCAATTGGGTCAGGAAAGAGTTTGGCTGCAGTGGCTCAGTGCTGTGCCAGAAACACAAACCAGGACATCTGGCTTTCCACGCACATGCCTGTGGCTCAAGGAGACCTGTACTGTCTGTGGGACCAGTCCTGCCATTAGCAGGCTTGTTGGTATGGCTCCTTGCTGTGCGAGTGTTGCAGAAGTGACCCTGCTGATGGTTTGGGAACTTCTGTTTTAGGCATCTGGCTTTGAAATGACATGCCCTGGGTTGTTTTCCCTCATCTGTGGCATATATGAAATAGGTCTGTTAACTCCAGCGTTCAGACTTTGAGGCTTGTTGAACAAATACATCCGCAGGTATTTGAGGGTCATCCAAGGATTTATAATAGACTTGTCCTTAAGGGAAGAGTTTCTGTGACCGTGAAAGATCACGACCACACTGATGTCTATATTTGGGTGGTATCCCAGCATTTTCCATTTTCAAACAACATCAAAATGCAGCTGACTGTGAATTATGCTGAGCCTGGGCTGTTGCAGTTCACTGACATGTAATGAAATAATTGAGAGGAAAAGATCACTCCAGCAAACTGCAATTGTGGGGTGGAGGTAAATGTGCAGGTGTGCTCTTGACCTTCACTGTTGTTTCCTATCCCGAAATGTTGTCACTCCCTAGTCAGTGAGGACTGTTCCTTGTCCTTCTCTGCACAAATGTCTGCTGCATAGGGGTGATCAGATAGATCACCATTGCCCACCTTTCCTGGTGAAAACCACTGGCCTCTGCAGAAGGATATGGACATTTTCTGGAGAACAATTCTTATTCCAAAGTGTTGGTAGTTACAGTGCTGTGGGAGGTCTGAGAGTTTCATGTATTTTTTCACTTTTGATCTCAGAGCTGATTTAAATGTTGCAGATTAACAGTTGTTTTTCTGTGTTAAATGCTTATAAGTAACTATTAGATGAATGACACTGATGACAGAGCTGATGAGGCACATAATAAATTAGAACTAATGATAATTGAGATTATCTTGTCTAATGAAGATGATGATTCTCACAGTAATGCTGGTAGTAGAGCCATGTAGGCAAGAAGAGTTTTAGGCTATGTGAGCATTATATTATCACTACAATGAAGATTTAGAAAGCATTTCTGTTGCTTGAAGCTTGCTGGTCCACTAGCTGGATGGGTCAAGGGCTGGTAATAGCATACTGAGGTAGAAGCTTCAAGGCTGGGAGCTGGAGTGCAGATTACAAAGCGAGTTTTGGTGGCTCCTTGTTACTGTCTGATGGGTGTAGAACAACTTGCATGGGAAGAGAACTGGTGCTCTCTGTGTAAGGCTCAACAAATATACGCTTTCAGTGATCAACTCCATCTGGCCAGAGTGTGGGAAAAGTTGAGGACTGGTTGAAAAAGGAGAAGTGGGTCACTTTCCTTTGCAGAAAGAGTGCCTCCAGGTTAGAGCTGGTGCCCGTCACTGGGGCAGGGAGGGCTAAGAGAGATGTGTTCCCTCACTGGCCTTTTGTAGTCACACCACTGACAGCATATAAAATAAAAGGAGTTAATATGTCACTGGAATTGGAGAAGGTAAATACAGTGTATGAGTAGAGTAAAAAAAAGAAGCCTGGATTTTACATGGAGATCCAGTGCCGCCTTGAGCCAGTCCCAGATATCTCTTGTGGTGTATGTTCTAAGTCCAGTAAGAAAGGGATGCATTAAAATACCACTTACTGGAGCTAGCAGAGGAAGGTAAAGAAGAATAGTATAGATATTCTTGTGTACCTTCAGACACTGGGTACCCTGAGCTGAGCAGCATGAGACAGACCTCTGACGTGGGTATGGCACAGTATATTGGTAACATAAAGGAACTTTGGAAAATCAGTTACAGCTACACAGGGTAAAGCAAGGCTGAGCTAATCATCTTTCAGGAGATGCAGCCCTCCTACAGCTAGCTGAGCTCTACAGTAGTGCACTGCGCAGCCACCATGGTGTATGTGGTACATGGGGTTTGGGGTAGGAAAGAGCAGATTCTGTTCTAGGACTATTTGCAAGCTTTCCTACCAATCTGGAAAAAATACAGCAGTTAAATATTAATGTAGAGATACAGAGAGCCCAATCATATTCAAAAACTATTATCTATGATTAAACTCTTGCAAAATTAAAATGTTATTTAATTTGGAGCTCACCTTGGATAAGAAAATTGACACCTGAGCACAAAAGTGCCAGCAAAAACATTTCTGAGCTAATTCAGACTTTATCATTGCCTCTTCCTCTTGCTTGTCATCTCTGTCTTGCTCTCTCTGTGTAGAATGACAATAGCAGCAATTCCACTGCCTTGGGGTTGCAAAGGTGCAATACTGTTGTCTCTTGATGTGTTGTATTAAATGCTACTGGCAAATATAGGTTTAATTAACAAATTAACAGGCTTCATTGCTTTTTCAGTGCAAGACTTTCCTCAAGGAGATTTTCTAAGCACATCTAGGGATGGGTTTGTTACCACAGACAATGCAGAGAGTCTATGTACTAATCTCACGGAAAACATCTTTAACCTGAGACCACAGAAAGAATATGAAGTTAAGGCTTGGGGAGGAAAGAAAAAGGCATCAGCTTTGTGCACCTGTTGTTCCCCTGTACTGTCAAACTCAAGACATTTGCTTTGATTCTGTCCAAATTTCTTTGATAAGACATATGAAAATATTAGTTTACCAAATGGTTTTATCTACAGTCAATATTAGAGTCAGTTCAAAGCTTTAATTTCCATTTCTGTAAAATCTTAAACCTCTTAATGGAATTCCAAACAGGGCTTCCTCACCCCTGCCCTGTAGAGGTTTTTTTATCATGTGTACAGGGAAAAGGTTGTGTGCCTGTTAACTCAGATTTATTAAGATTTTATTACTTTAATGTTTTTCTATATTTTTACATATCCATTTTATATACTTTATACATTTCACATATTTCTTATTTATATTTATCCTTTTACATGTTTACATATACAAGTGTTTACATATACAAGTATAGAGTGAAATTTACACTTGGTAACAATGCTGTGGGCCCATCTGTTAATCAGCACCACATCAGTGGTGGCTGTGAATTCCAGTTTTAAAGATAATTATGTGTAGAAATAATTTTTCAGGGGAGATGCCGAAAATTTCATTAAGAGACTCTGCAAAATGCTGTTTTTCCCTGATTATGCTGCACATATTCTACCGTGCAAAGGACTAATTTTGATGAGTAAGGGAAGAAAGAGAATGCAAATGAGAAATTTCCTCACTGAAGCAGGCTCAGGATGCTGTTTGGGTAGCTGGATGATTAACACAGGGGTGATGAGATGAGGATTTGGGCTGAACAACTTTGGAATTCATATGCCCATGACGCTGAATTGAAGAGCATTGTTGGGAAGATGTTGTATACTGGATTGTGGATTTCCTGGTCTAATTAGGAATTTACTGCCCTCCTAGCAGTGGGATAATAACCCCCTGTGTAATCCAGTGCAGAGGGACGTGCTTCAGTTACATGCCCCATGCCATGGAATGCATCGAGTTGCATCATTTACTCTTCCCATATCAAGTCCTCTAGTGCCTTCCTGTTCTTTCTGTTTCCTTTCACCTGACCAAATGTGGAGATCTGACTCATATTCCTGCATCCACCAAGGAGACTGGTTTGAGGGGGAAAACTTGCAAGCACCTGGGCACCAGCCTGCCCACAATGAAGCAGCCATAGGCACCCATTTTGTCTGTCACCAAGCTTGAGCATGTATGATATCACAGTGGGGAGCTGTGTTTTCTGGTGATATTTCCAAAGGCTTTACCTAGGAGCCAGGCACATATACAGTTATCATACCTCTCAGAGGGTGTTCTTCCCAATAAGAGCATATGGAGGCATTACTTGGTGTGGAAAATATCCATTATAAGGTGGACACATCTTTGAAAGCTGTAGCTCAGGCATGTTATTTCTCCAGTTAAAACAAGCAAACAAGCAAAACCAACAAAAATATTCCCTCACTCTTCTCTATGTAGCACTAGGGGAAGTCACAGGTACCTTACAGGAAGAGAATTATACAGCTGTAAGAAGGGGATGAGTCAACTTTATTTTGGCTTTCTGCTTGTCAATAGCTTCTGGCTTCGTCAGACTTTTCTTTCAAAAGGTTCAATAAGAATTGAGCTGAATATTCATTCCTTTGACCTGAAAATTTGTACACTAAAAATGAAGTGTGATGCAGTAGGTGTGCACTTTATGAGGTTTAGTAAAGCAGAAGAAATGCTGGTAAGGATTTTTGGAGGTGGATAGTTTTTGTGGAAAGCTAATATTGAAAACACTGGTGTGTCTAGCAATGGATATTGTGCTCCTGCTGCTCTGTCCATCTGTTTGCAATTGACTTCCAAATAGCTACTAAATGCAGCATTTTTCTGTTACAGATTTGGAATAGAAATGACTTTTATTTCTCATTTTAGAGACAATTTTATTTTGAGATAAAAGCACTATATATTTACAAATGTGCTGGAAATAATACCCTTTCTAGAAGGAGGAATTTTAAAACTGTTGGATCTCTTTTTCATGCTGAATAAAGAGAAAAATAAATCCTGCATTTATCCATAGTCCAGTGAATATCTATTTGCCCAAAAACTCAAAGGGTTCTCAGGTTTCATTAAAGTAACTGTTTCATAGTATTTATTTCCTATTAGCAGAATTCATAATTTCTTTAAATGTGAATTCAGGATGTCCTGAACCCTTATCCTACTGACTTTTTTTTTTTTTTGCCACCACTAGAAAAATCAGAAGTTTGATATGTGAAATTCTTATTAAAAACATTCTCTAGCTTCCCTCTAAATCCACTGAAATGCAGGTAAGTTTCTCCCAGCTAGTACTGTGATGACTAAGGTGCCGCATTTTGCGGGAAATAAGGTTATAGTTTTGCTAATTTCAAACCTCTGCCCCCTGCAGCTTTACAGAATAGAAATGTTATTTATGCTTTTTAAAAAGATATATTTTGGTTTTCTCAAGGGCATTAAGGTTTGCTTATTTGTATATTTAGAATAAGAAAGTTGTCTGCTGTACTTAATACTATCACAAGGACTTGAACAATATTAAGGGATGTTTCAAAGATTTCAGGATTTCCAGGACTGACATTTCTACAGTCTTGTATAAGTGTGAGGTTTCCAGTGCCCTTTTGTGTTCTGATTTTGAAAATCTCTTGCCATAGCAACCCTGAACCTTCTTCTGTTTAAGCACAGCTTGGCATTCATACATTTAGCATCAGCCACGGCTTTGGCTGCCCCGTATTTCAAGGCAGGACACATCTAGGAGATGAGAATATTCATTGAAATGAGACCCATCTAGAGCATTCGAGGCTAAAATATGGCATTTGAAGCTAGGCTGGAATAACTTTCTACTGATTCTCCGCTAAAATCTGATGCGTAGGCTGAAGTAAGTTTCTCAGCCAGAATAGTCTAGAGAATGATATTTAGACAAGTCTGTGCTCAAAAGAGTTTTATGCTAAAGGTCAATATAGTTTAACCTCCAGAGTAGGACGCATTTGCATCTGAGACTAAGAGAAACACAGTCTGTTAGACTGTACTTTCCAAACTATGTCGCTGCAGAGTTTAAGGTCTAGCATTCTTCTGAAATTTCCATTAACTACTCAACTCCACCCTTTGGAACTGAAATATCTTCAAAAGTCTGGCCTTAAGTGCTTTGTTGGAAAAGTGTCAATGCTAAATGTATATACAGTTTTCAAATACAACTATAATTTTGAGCTCGAATGTTCCTTTCCAAACCAATTTGCATCTCAGTTAGGTTCTGGCTAATTCATATTTGAACTAAGTTTGCAGGGGAAAAAAAAGCCAAACAGTTAAAAGTTTTTGGGACTTGTCCAATGAATATATTGTTTTTGAGTGCCAACAGGAAATAATGAGAGAATTGGTCATAGAATATTTAATAATTTTTACCTCTTTTTATGTTATATGCTGATATAATATATCTCTCATATGCTGTGACTTATAAGAGATCATATCTGCAGGGTTGTTTTTTTCTGTGCTAAGTGACTATTTCTGTCATCTTTAATGCAAAACTATGAGGAGGGAAATATTGCAAATGGCTAAGCCATACTGCTCATAGCTGTGCCCTTGGATTAAGTGGTTGTTTGCACACAAAACTAACAGATTTGAAGAAGGCAGATTTGAAGGTTCCCTCCACCCCTAAAAAAACCAGTAATTTTTATGTATGTATGTATATACGGATACACTCAAGGACACATACATATGTGAGAGAGAGAGAAAGAGAGAACTGAAAGATAATTAATACATGCCCATTTTCACCTTTGTAACTAATGCAGATATACTGTAAGTAGGTCAAATCTGCTGTTACATGCTTTAAACTGGCATCTGCTGTGCATTAGACTGCTCAGAGCTTGGCTTCAGGATTTCTTTCCCCACAACCCCCCTTTATTTGCCTTTCTTCCTCTTTCCCTGCATCTCCCTCCATCATCTTACAGTCAAAATCCACAGACGTATACTCAACCCAAGTATAGCTCCCATTCACCTAAATGATAATTTTCTGGGAATGAGAACTTGGTGGTGACCACAAGATTTAGCTCTTCTGTGGCTGCTCAGTTACATCTGACCCTCCTGGATAAAGAATTACCCACCTGCTTGTTGTTTATAGCAGTGAGGTCTTAAGGAAACCCCACAATTGCTTGGAGAGAAAATGAAGCTAATAAATTATATGGATTAAACTAGCCTGTAAGTTCTTTGGTATTATGTTTTGACCTTCTTTTGGTTATTACCTTTTCCATCAGCAGTTTTTCCTGTATGAGCACACTGGATTTATACTTTTGTCTTTGCAAGTATACCCCAGACTAGCAGATGCCGGAAATTTACTCCATGTTCTCGTCCTTCTGAGGTGGCACAATTTATCAAGGCTGTTTTTCTAACCTTTCATGATTTTTGGGACAGTCAGAAATCAAAGTGGAAAGGAACAGGGCACTGTGTTTTGAATGTGCAACATGGCTTGCATCTATAGAGAGGCTTTCACAGAGACAGTCACTTTAAAAATGTTAGGGACTAATATCAGCAAAAGCAGAGGAGGGTAAAGGATGGATGTATCTCCCAGGAAGGTTATGTCACATGATGTGTTTTTCTCCCTGGTCCCTGCCATGCTCAGGGGCCTTTCTGACTCTGTTGCTTTAGTGCCATCTCTAAAATTTGCAGTGAGGACCAGGCAGAGGTTTTTAGGGGATCGGATGCTTGCAGCTCATTCTGCTGGAGAGAACAGGAGAGCTTTGAGTGAATTTGACATTATACTTCTGCCATATGCTCTGGGGACATCACACTGTCATCTCTTCCTGTGCCCAAGGTTGACCCACCTTTGAACAGGATGGATGCTGGAGCAAACAACTGCTGCCTTGGTGGTCTGCACCTGCAGTACGTACTCCATATCGGGAGGAGTTTTGGACTCCTCCAGAATTAAAGGGTACCAGAAGCTGCAATTCAGATATCTCTTCTGCTTTTCCTTCCTCCATCTCTTGATATGTCTGCCTTACAAGAGTCAACTTTTTAAGTATATGCATACATAATTACCACTACTGGCTGTATTTACAATTGCAGCTGTCTGGCTAATGCTCCGGCTAAGAACTGTTCAAATTTGCTAAAAGGATTTTTGTCTGTGAGGGCAAAACTGTGTTGATTTAAGAATTTCTCTTTCAGAAATCATTTGCTAATCTTCCAATGGCTTTCAGTGACGAGCTTGACTGGCCCCAGTTCTCAGAGATCACTGGATTTCTGAATTCCACTATCGGGTAAGACAACCAGCAGGGAGGGTGGCCAAGTCACAGCAAGTCTCAAGGTCAATCAAAGCACAGCAAGGAAAAAAAACTCACAAGACAGTGCTTTAAAGGAAAGATAAAAAAATCCATTCAGATCTGCTTCTGCCCTTTCTAAAATCAAGATTGACACTGGATTTAGGGTTTTTAAAAAATATTTTAAGTATATAACCAGATCTTCCTGAAATTTGAGGTAGGTTTTAGAACTGGTCTAATTGAAATTTAGAAGGAGAAAATCTTGTTCTTTACAAAATTCTGGGGAAGAGAGAAGGGGAGCATTGCTGAAACTAACAAAAATCAGCATTTCCTTTTTCTTTTTTTTAATCTTTTCCTCTTCCTCAGATTTTCTTTCTGCTGCTGAAACAGTGGAATAAATGGTAACCCCTTAGGGGGAAATCTTTCTCTCCTCCCTCCACCCTTTGTTTTTTAACACATTTAGAGGGAAATAGCAAAAGAAGAATTTGGAAGAGTCTGTGACCTAATTTGCTGTGTTAGCTTGGCTCATGTGGATGGGGAAGGATGTAGGGATAGATGGGAAAAAAAAGAAGTTTCTGCCAAAAAAGAAGGAAAATAAAGTCTAAACACTTGAAATACCTGCAGTTTTAACTGTTAAACTAAAAAAAAATTATTATAATTTTATTAATCATCTGTCTGGCCAGCATTAAGAGGCCTTTTAATGCTGCCAGACCTGTACAGTACAATCACCAACAGTACCTGGTCGGACCTGAATTTCAGACAATTTTTATTTTATTTGTGTAAGATAGGTCAGGAATAGAGTTGAATGCCAAACCAAGCATGAGTCAAGCCTAAAGAGGCTCTCTACCAACAGAATTAAAAAGTTGGCAGAATTATATTCTTTTCCAGGAAAAATATCTGTTGCACCATACACTTCTTGCTTCCTTTTTTCTCCCAGTAAAAAATCCAGGCTCCCCGCCTCAGCTACGTTCACACAGTGTCTGCTTTAAGAAGGTTTACTACTTGACAAGCCAACGGGAAACATCTATGCAGCCTCCTCTATCAGAGCCATAGCAAAACTGACCTTTAAAAATCTGTTACAATGTCCAGCCACTCAACACACGGCATTTGTCTGGGCTCCAAAGAATCTGAAGTCCACAAATGATCAGAGATTAGAGCTGACTCCAAAGTTGTCAGTGACAAGCCTTGGTCCAGAGTTCAGTTTTTAATCTCTTTCACTTCTGGAAGAAATAAAAATCAAACAACTGCCTGGGATTTCAAGGTATCTTTAGGAGAAGTAGCTCAAAATCCCACACCACAATAAGTGCGGTGGAGACTGGCTGGCACTGTGCAGTGGGAGGATACCTGTTACTTCAAGACTGCCCAAGCAGAGATACAAACTGGTGTGGTCCGTGTCCATCTTTCCCACCCCCTGATAAGCAAACAGGGATACCACTTTTTAACTAATATCCTCTGAATGAGAAGGTGTGTTTCCTCCTCTTCCTCTGCCTGCCCACTGTGTTGAAAACCAAAGAGGTTGAGCATTTCTTGCGTGACCTATTGCATGGTGACTGGCTGAGGTTTTTCTACGCAGGTAGTTACTTCTTGTTGCTGATTTAAAACTTATTATTGCCTTCTGTATCCTAGTCTTCATCCAAGTTTGTTGTTGTTAAGGCATGATATTTATCTGATTCCTTTGGTTTCTCAGTTCAAACACAAAATCAGCAGCCCAGAAAGAGATGATCAGGTACTTCTGACTGCGAGCTTGGTCTTCTTATCAACCTTTGGGCTGTTATTCTTTTCACTTGCTTTTTGATTTTTCTCAACAGTGCAAAGTAAAGAAGAGAACTAATCACAATCAAGCATAACCTGCTTTCAGATTAATCTGTCCAAGATTTATGTTGTTGGGAAATGATTTCCCTGCCAATATTTCTTCTCTTTTATTTACTGTTCCATAACAACCAATTGAAAAGCCAATTTGTGAACAATCAACAGGATTATTTTGATAAATGATGTATAACAAAAAGGTTTTTAAACACATTATCTGAAAGACCAGCATAAAAGCATTGTTCCTGGATGGAACAATGTCAAAGAAACTTTCCATCAATTTATAGTTTCTGAAAAGATATCTTGGCTTCATTTTAGGCAACTCTGTTCAAGATTAAAAAGATTTATGACCACAAAAAAGGAGAGATAATGAAATAGAAGTATATACATAACTGGGGTACTAAGTTGTTCAGAAACAAGAACATATTTCTTTTTTAATATCAGCTTTATTTTTATCAGTATCATATGAGTTTAGCAGTTTGCATTTTCTCAATTTGTTTCAGAGGCTGGACAGACTCTCTGTATCTGCGTTTACGCAAGAGAAATCGCTGTAATCACAGAGACTTACAAAACATTTCCCAAAATGGTATGTTAACTTTTTTCATTTTTTGTTGTTTTGTTTTGGTTTTTTTTTAACATTGCTACTGCTGATACTCGATGCTGCATTAATGACCGTCTTTCAGAAACAAAGAGACACCCCTTCCTAGTTGCATGCATTTCTTATGGAAAAAATAGAGAACAGAACTTATTCAACTCAGCACCTTTTCTTCTTGCTCTGAGCAGGGAGGGGTGTGGCTTGATCCCTTTTATCAACACGCTAAGAATTTCCACCGGATTAAAACCGGTGTACCCCACTGTAACTCTATGGACCTTTTTTGACTAGGGCCAAAATGAGGGATTTAGAGGGATGTCACTAGTAGTGACAGAGATAAAAGGGCCGTTCTCCGTCTACTCCGGAGGCTGTGGCATGGTCCCTGCTTGCATGCACTCCTCTGCTCTATACTCCTGCAGGGAATGCTGAGAGAGCCCTATACTGCACCCTACGGTAGCACAGGGGACTCTTAGGGCTGCCACACCAGCAGGCAGAGTGAGCACAAAACAGTCGTCAGTCTCATAGCAAGGCTGTCCATGACATCCTAAGACATCCCTTGGGGGCCAGCAAGCAGAGATCCTCCTGCAAAACTGGGAAGGTCAACGGTGCTCATCTCAGTGTGCTCTTACAACAGATTTAAATAAGTAATCAGACACAAACAAAGCACTGGTGGGACAAAGACAGGAAAGAACTCTGTTATGCTTTAATTAATTATTTTTGTGAGGCTGGCATAACATCTTTCTATGAAAAAACTTTCATATATATATATATATATGCATATAAATATGCAGAAGACTTGACCTACCTAGAACTAAGGAAAGTGTTTTGCATGGTACCTCAGTGTGCAGTGAAGAAGAGAAAGATTATTACAATAAGAGGTGGGTAGAGAAAAACCTAAGCAGGGAAGAGTAGTGGGTTTGAGAGAGAATCTATGTCCCCTATGCATCTCTTCTGAGGCTAATGCAGCTTAACATTTGGAGTGGTGACCTTAGAGCAAAGACCAGGGTACATGCTTGATAGCTTCTGTGAATGATGCAAAACTGCAAAGTATTAACCATCCTAGAGCAGGACACATCGTTACACAGGAATAATTTAGATGAACTTGGGAACAGCAGTGACAGGAATTGCAGCAAATGCAATTGTACAAAACATCTATGACAGAACTAGTGATGAGATTTGTCTGTGAACTAGTGGCTCATCAGCCAGAGGTGGTGGAGGAACAGAGGCACTGGGGTCCAAAGGGAAATTCCAAGAAACCATCAGGAGTACAGGATCAACTGGAAAGAGACTAAGGAGGTTGCAAGATGCATCATGCACAGCATTTTCTCTAGAGACAAGGAGACAGTCCTTCCTCATATAAGTCCACTGATAAGAACTCAGAATTTGAGCCCCTTTTGTCTAGGGAGGACTGACTTGGGTGGGTATAGATACAGAAAAGGGCTTTAGAGAGAATTAGGGCAATGGAGACTTCTGAAGACACGCTGGCATTTCAGCAAAGCAAAAATTAAATGGTGTTATGGTTTTGAATCCCTTTGAGGTATAAACACCACAGAGTGGGAAGAATGGTTTAAACTGAAGGATAGCTCTGGTACAAGAACATGGGTTTTCACTAATCCTACCTCTGTTTGGAGAGGAAATTTAAAAAAAAAAAGGTTACTAACAAGGAGTAAAAACCTAGAATGACCCTCAAAACAGAGGAATAAGGGCAAACAAGAAACCCTGAGTTGTTTCAAGACAGAGTTGAATTAAATTTGACAAAGAGGTTGTATGAAGACGTGACAGTAATCCTCCTTAGAAATTGAGGTTTATGATGTTAGCTTTTGTGTCTTGGATTAGGTGATGTTCCCAACAGCAGGTTTAAAAGACACTTGATTATGCTGTGATTATCCCTTTGTGTTTCCATTGTATTTAATTAATTTTCATGCTTCAGAAAACTGGCTGCAGAAGCTTGGGAAAATTTATTCTCCTTGGGTAGATAATTTGGCTTTATGGGATGCTCTTCCTTTCCAACAGATGATTCATGTTGGCTGCAAGTGAGGAGCACTGCTGCCCCTGGAGCTACTTAGAAACTCGTTAAATGTTTGGAATATTTCTGCAATATTTAGGGTCAGAAAGGGTCTGCCTCAGCCCTACCTTCAACAAACAGACACATACAAATATCTCAAAGGCAAGCGTCAAGAGGATGGTGCCAGACTCTTCTCAGTGGTGCCCAGTGACAGGACAAGGAGTAATAGCCATAAACTAAAACACATGAAGTTCCACCTCAACATGAGGAAGAATTTCTTTGCATTGAAGGTGGCAGACCGCTGCAAAAGGTTGCCCAGAGAGGTCATGGAGTCTCCCTTTCTGGAGACATTCAAAACCCACCTGGACAAGTTCCTGTGTAACCTGTTCTAGGTGACCCTGCCTTGGCAGGAGGTTTGGACTGGATGATCTCTAGAGGTCCCTTCCAATTCTAATGATTCCCTGATCTTACCAGGCAGAAGAGGTTGCACAGACAGGTAGCATGATGCAAGAATCACTTCCAGGCTCAGGTGGGCATTTTCACCTTAAAAATTGCCTTCTGGTGCCAGCACCAATGGCACTGGCAACGCCTCTCATATGCCTTCCTACTTCCTGTGGCACACTTGGTGCTCCTGAGGCTTTGAGACTTCTGTGAAAGCATTTTACAATGTGTTTGGTGTCATCAATCAGGTGTTTCTGACTTTCTTGCCTGTAAGATGCAGGGCACTAAAGTTGATGGCTCTTGCAGTCCCCCAGTTGTGCTTTCTGAGAGAATAAAAAAAAGGGCCAAACTAGATGGTCATGGATGACTAGGTGTGAGTGGTTCTTCTCATTTCTGTCCAGTTCATCTCAGTACATGATAGCCTAATTACCTTGTTCTGTTCTCCTTACATTAATGGGGGTGGTAGTTCCTGCACCTCCTTTTCCCAATTCCCTTGTAGTTTTTTTTTTTTAATAATCTCTCACTGTGTGCATCGTTCATTTTTCTCTCCACGTATCTCCTTTCCACTTACACTACAGACACTTGCAGGATATAAAAAGAGGTGAACCTGTGACAGGGCAAAAGACTCTGAAGAAAATTGAGAGGGGAATTTAAAAAAGGGAAAAAACTACAAGTGAGAGAAAAATCTCAGGATGTCTTCCCTCGATGTCTTCTCTAAATCATCACACTGACACTACACTGTAAAGGTTCACTTTTATTGCCTCATTTGGCTTAATAGTTTCCCTGAATGGGAGGATTTAAATAGCCACTCTCAGTGGCAATAAAGCAAAAAGTTGGCCACTAGCCTGACCTAACCTCACCTGGGACAACTAAACCTTCCTTTGAAAATGATGCTTCACAGCCCCACATGTATGCAATGGGAGGATGAGTCACTAGAGAGGATGATCTGGTGGGGAAGATGTGCAGCCAAGAGCTAGAGCCCAGGGATGGCATTGTGTCAGACCTCAGCATGGAGGGACTTTCCCCACTGACCTTCTCAGGACATGCATCTTCACTCTGGAGAAATGCTTCCTCAGTCTCTGTGATAGTGGGATTTCTGCCTTCCCTTTCTTAAGAAATCCCATTATCCTCTAGAGACTGTGAACCCTTTCCTCCTCTGCGTCTGGCTGAGGGACAGGACCCGGGAGAGTGCCCCTCAGCTCAGTATGTTACCCATGGCCTGTGAATATACTCGTATCAGAATTGCTGACATTCATTTGGGGTGACCAGTTTTGCTCACCAGGCATCCCACAAAATGCATGGGATATGAAACATAAGTTAATAATTCGTAACAAATCTGTTCTATTCTGACACTACTGTGGAAGTACAGCTTGTGGTTGCACAACAAGCACCTCAGTGTCCTGATCAATGTTTTCTGTCAGAGTGACTTGCTGAACAGTGTTCTGCAGATAATTTTTGTTTGTTCACTATTTTCAATACCATTTTGTTGTGTTTCCTTCCAGCAGCTTCACACAGGTTGATAAGCTATGTGCCATTTCTGGTTTTTGACTGGGTGAGTGGGATCTCCAGGTGTGAGGGCTTGGCATAAATGCTCAGGTGTGGAGTTAGAAAATTCTTCTAAATGTTCTCCAGCACTTGTTGAAGATCTCTTGTTTTGATAGAAACATCCTGACAGTGAAATTGGTTAGATAAACACGGGAAAAGGGAATACCCTCAGATTTTCTAAATAATTACAGCACAATCTTACAATTGTCATCCATGTTTTGCATGAGATACTTGGATAATGTAGGCTATTTCAAAGCATGGGTATTTTATGTTCCTTTGCCATTTTTAGTTTCATCTGTCTCTTTGGGATTCTTGCCTTTGACCAGAAAAATTAGTCCTTTTTAACATGTGCTATGGGTCACTGAGCCATCAACCACCAGTTATCTCACACTGGCTTCAAAACCAGTTAAGAAATAATAATTCTTTTTTTTTTTCTTCATCTGTCCTGGAAAGTCTATTCCACTTGATGTTCATTTGGGGAAAACCAGATACTTTTTTCTTTGCATCATTATATTTTCAATTGCTTTTACAACGTAAGGGAGCAAAAGATTAGAAGTCAATAAGCCTTCTTGCCCACACAGCACTTTTGGTTCTATCCAGACCCAGGGTCTTTCAGTGCACTTTAGTGCTGCTCCCTGTCAGCCATGCAAGGTTTGAGTGCAAGAAAATACAGAAGTGCGGCTCAAGTATTCCAAGGTTTATGAAATTCAGAGTTGCTCACAAGCAGAAGGAAACCCAACCTTGATTCCTCAACCAAAACTAAAAAACCCCACTGGTGTGAAAATATTTGGAAAGAAACAAAAAGAAAGGCAGGAGAGATCCAGGGAGAGCTTCCAGGACATTCAAAAGTGTAAGAGTAACTGTTCTGCCTCATCTCTTTTTGCATCTTGAATGTTTTTATCACAGATTTCATCTTGTATCACAAAAGCTTCCTTGAAGACCCAATTTACCCATGAAAACTGTTTTCTAAAAACCCTTTCATTTTCTTGATGTTTTGATTTGTAACTGTGTTAGTGCTTTCCACAGAGCTGCTTATAACTACCTATGCTTGTGGAGTTAATACATACCCTAAACCAGCTTATTGGGATTTTTTTTATAAATACGTTTTTAATTTCTAGAGGTCCCACTTGTTTATTTGTGCTAGAACTGCAGCCTCAGTCCAGGGAGCCATGTGACAGAATGGCTTTAAGAGGGGGTGTTCCGCTCTAGCTGAAAGAAGGGCTATTAAACAGAAAAAAATAAACTGCTGGTAGTTATGTTCCAAGCCATATTTTCTAAGGATTTTGTGGGGCTCTTATCCTGCTGAAAAGAACTTCTCAACAGACGGGCTGGCTTTTTGAATCAGCAACCCTCAGGAAAGAAGCAGCAGACAGATATATTAATTTTTAGCTTGGAAGAACTGGATTATTTAAAACATAAAGGATTCCTTGATACATGTGGTTGGCATCACGGTGAGTGATAATAACAAAGGCACCACTATTAAAATGCAAAGTGTATTATTGCTACCTTAGGGGTTTATCTCTTAGATCTTTCCCCCATACCAATCCAGCAGGGATTTAATGATGTTCTGTCCGCAAGTTTCCTCCCAAGAGCTGCGGGGAGGACAGGATTTGCTGCTCAAAGCAAGCTTCAGAAGCACAATGTAGAAAAAAGAAGAGACCAGGAAAGAGCTGAGCTGAGAATAGAGGGAGTGTAATACCAGAGGAGAAGGAGTGAGAAAAGAGGAGAGAGTGATAATACTACAAAATAAAAGCAAGTACTACCTGTAGGGCCTGCTTCTCTGAAGTGTATGTTTCTCTGCATTGCTGTGCAGTGAGCTTCTTGCAGTCACAGCCTTAGTCTCATCTTGAACAAAGCCTAAAGTATTTTTTGGCTCCTTGTTTGCTAACACTCTTATACTGCAGGTGATGGAGTTTGATTTGTGTGCTGGCGATGTATATGCAGAGCCTTTAAAGACCTGCTAGTAGGTTTAATGCATAAAAACTTTACTAAATGGGAATGCCTTTCTCATTCAAAATATAAATGAAAGATTACAGATGCTCACAGATGCTTAGGTGTAGCCAGCTCTTTTCCTCAAGTAGGAAAGATTTGCATCCAATCCATTGAAATGCACAGCTTCTTGGGAGGAGTGCAGCTGGTCTAATACTACTTTTTGTAAGTCTGACACTTGTGAGGAGAGCAATGCAGAAACCCAAATGTTGGTGTCTACAGCTATTTAAGGTGCTTTACAGTATCTTTCCCATCTTCAGCTGCCTTTCCAGAAGTGCACAACCTCTCATGCATCCTGTGATGAATCTCCAGCCCTGCTGCAGGTGTCTTGGATAGTCTGGGATGTCAAAAATGGCACTTGATGTCTATGTTTAGGACTTGAATCAGTCCCAATGTGGTATAGCTGTGAGACGCATACTCTCAGAAGAGTGAGAACAGTTCCCTTTGCAATTTATAGGGAAAGTTAAAAGTAGAACGACTGTTGACAAGTCAGGTTGGCTGGTTTACAAGAGACTACTATGTTCAACAGATGGGAAGAAGCTGCCAGATCTGGATTAAAAGCCAGATCAAAACAACCCTTCACTTTAAAGTATTTGATTTAATACAGCCAGAAGTGTGGGACTCAGGTAAAAGGCAGCAGGTCCCTGGATTTAACTTTACTTCTTAATGCCAGCACCTAAAAGTATTACAGAGATGATTTCTTGTTCCATTTCTATTTTTAGTGCTTCTACATTCTTGGAAATATCCAATTAACTCGGGTTTTGCACTTTGGGTTTTAGTTGGTTTTTTGGTTGGTTTTTTTTTGTCACTATAACAATGTTGTACTAATTCTCTTATTCCCACTGTGTGTGATCAGGTGGTTCTTCTGGAAACCTCCTCTATTTAATAAAAAGGTGAGTGTTTAATGGGATTCAAGTGCTAACTCAGGGTACAGAAGCATTGATAGAGTTCTGCTTCTCTGAAAGAAACACGCAAAGCCCTGTAAGGAATATACTATCCACAAGTACTCTAAAAAGTACAGGCACTTTAAGGAATATATTATCCACAATAATGTTCTGAGAAGTACAGCTTCCCTTGACCCTTGTACTCTGAAGTGATGGCTGTTTCTTCTCTGTTATAAACATTAATAAAAAGAAGAAAAACTATTTTAAAGAGTGGATGTCACCATGTCCAGGGCCTTGAACTTGGCTCAGTAAAACCGGTGGGGCATTTCCAGTGATCTTAGGGAAGAGACTAAACCTTTCCATACATCTATGCTTTGTATCCCCTTAACTGTGTGTAGCAATGTACACAGACATAGGTAAGTCCACTGTTATCTCCACACGGATATAACTGTGTATCTACTGGATGGTGAGAGGCAGCAACTCTCCTTTTCAGATGAATTTAGGTGGGCTATGGGTCAGTCAGGTTTAGTTTACTTTAGTTCACATGCCGAGGATTTTTATTGTTCTCTCCTCCGGAAAAAAAGTAGTAAAGAATCCTTGCCCTCTAGCACTGAGCTTCAAACCACATCCTGATTTGATCTTGAGTTCAGTTCTGCACATAGACTTAGTTGTCAGCCAAACATTGTCTTCCTCTCTCATCTCTAATTAAAAAAAAACATTTTGGTTCATGTCTTTGCCCCACAATGAAACTACAGTCCACTAGGGGCAAAAGAGAGATGAAAAAAGATGTGTTTAAGACACTTTACTAAAATATAAAACTATAGTGAAAAGAAAAACCCAAATATAGGAGTGTAGTCATTTCAGCACTGTCTGTATCCAACCAGGCTACTTCCAAATGTGATCTCACACAAGCACGGTGTGTGACTCAGACGCTGAGAGCATATTTCCACATTAATATAGGTGCATATTTATCTTTTAGCTTGGCCAGAAACCAGCTGTTGGACAATCCAGCCATAGTTATCTATGCTACAATTGGGAATGATGTCTGCAACGGGTAAGGTGTAAACTAAATGAACTTTTATGGTAGAATAAATTGGACTTCTTTAGAATACTGCTGACTGCTTGGACGTTTGTGTCTCATTGCTTTGTGCTTATCCATGATGGCATTTTTCTTCAGTTTTAGTCTATCCTTTCTTAATTTTCCGCTGAAAATGCTGGTTGTTGCCTTACCTGTATTTGTCATAAGCACGGATAAGTCCCCATTTGGACCTTGTCTTTCATTTCCTTTTTTTGTAGCCAGTCATAAAGTGACCCATGGCATGTCTGAAGTAATCATTTATAACTTAGCAGAGGAAATTAATAATAACAGCAACGCGGGGAGGGGGGGAGAGAAGAGTTTAAAAGCGTGTATATCTGTCTTATCCAGTGTGTCACCTTCTGTCAGGAGGGAGAGCGTGACTAATTTATCATTTCTGAAGAATCACAAAATGGTCCCCTGTCTAGGTCCATTTTACCCTGCCTCTGCTGCACACTGCCTGCAGTCTTTGCTGTGCTTTCCTGATGAGGTGTTTTGTCTTTCTGGCTTTACTCACATCATAAGCTCTGCAGGAGAATGAACTGAAGCTCTCAAAACTAATAGTTCTGACATTACCCAGAATGGATAATGTCACAGGGACACCAAGATGTCACTAGTTGGATGCTTCCCTTCCTCCAGGTATGGAAGGGCAGAAAACACCTTGCAACCAGGCAAATGCACAGGACATCCATACCGCAGTTTTGGTTTTGAAGAAGGTCTGAGTGCTGTTGCTAGTGCAACATTATTTTCACCATGATCAATCTTCAACTTTTCTTGTATGTTGAAAAAATATACCTGACGTACCTGGAGACTTTCAAAACACTCGTTTCAATAAATGCCACACACTCAGCTGAGTTTCCTTCTAAAGCTATTGAAAACTCTCACCTTCACGTTGTATAATAAAGTTGGAGCTATTCAAACTTGGCCGGTAAAATAGCAAGGCTTGGTATCCTACAATTTCTCTTAATGGGCAGTTCATGGGTTGAAATTTTGCTTGTCAGGTGTTGTTCTCCAGATGAGGATGTCCAAAGCCAGGCAGGACCTTCCCTGGCACTGCAGCACCTGGAAGCCCTCAGCCAGGGCAGAAGTGGTACCACAGGGCCCACCTTTTAGGTCCTTTCCTGACATCACCATTGCCCTAGCCACATCCAGACAGCACACAGAAATAACCTCCCATGAAATCTTCGCCATCTGGTGCTCATGCTCTCTCTGCACCCTTGCCCAAAACTGCCAAATTTGCCCTCAGCACCACACTCCTGTCAGTGGAAGAACACACAAATCCTCAAAAGCAATGCCGTCACTCCCTGCCTCAGTGGGAAAATCAGTCACAGGCCCCTTACCACTTGCTGACAAGACTGTTCTGGGGATCTGTTTACTGAGAAGCTTATGGAGGTATCATTACATCCACCACCAGGGTGATAAACCCCCCTCTCCTCCCTGCCCCAGCCCACCACCCCTTTCAAAGGAAAAAAAAAAAAAAGGCACCTTTGCTGAAGTCCATGTCTCCTGCCATGGATATTTTCCAGGTGTCTTCTCCCAGGTTTGGCCTAGGCTCTTTTGTGTACATATTTCAATTCTGCTGTGTCACTGCCTTTGCTAAAAGCTCCTTTTTTTCCTTTGTTTTATTCCTCATTCTGCAGGTTGCCAAGTCTTTCACTTACCATGTCTCTAACACTGCTTTCTGCTCTTGCCTGAAGTAAAAAGAAATTTTCCAGAAGTTTAAACCATTTTCACCTTGCCTCACCCATTTGGTATATTCCAAAACCTTCCAGAACAGTATTTATTACTTGCTTGAAATTCTGCTGTCTTTTTATCCCAGCATCCATTACGTGGCAGAGACACTTTTGTCTGCTCTAATTCTCTCTACTGTTTTTTGTCTGTTTACTTACAAAACATTCACAGCATCAAAAGAGGCTATCAGGCTTTAGTGACCCCTGTGGCTCCATCAAGGAAAGATTCTGCAGCTTCTGTAGAATGTGCTGTTTCCATTGAGTTGTACAGTGGACAGAGATTTCAGTGTCCAGTCACTGTGTGTAGCTGCCCTGGCTCTGATGTACCTAGAGAGGTTACAGAGGATGCAGAGCATCTGATGGGCTTGACTTCAAACCTAGAGCTTGACAAATAGAAACCTCTTCAAGGGCAGCTTTAAACTGCAACAATGGAACCTTCTTGGCCTTATCCTGTATCTTGCCTTCAAAAGAGAGCAGTGTGCTGAGCATACCAGAGACACAGCTCTTAGCCAAAGCATTGTTAAAATCCGAGTATTTCACCCTGTGCAAAGAGTGGGGCAATGAATAATATGGATGTTTGTAGAGGAAAAAGGTAGTGAAATTGGCAGCCTGTGCTACACATTCCCAGTAGTCTCCATACTGCAGTGTCCAAACAGGGGGGTTAGAAAAATAAAGACAGATGGCAATGGTATCTCTCAGCCCACTGAGGTTTAAATGTGGGACACAGAGACCTAGAACAAAAAAAATCAGACAAGAAAATAATAAGCACCAGAAGTCTCAAATGTTTTGCAGTTGATGCACATATTAGTTACATTTGGGGTGAGGCCCCATTTCTCCAGCCTCTTTGTCACAGATCTACAGTTATTGTATCTGCAACAAACAGAAAGGTGATAGCAGCAAAGCAGGGTGAGCAGGGACCCACTGGGAAAGGAATTTGTGCAAAGTTGCACCAGTACCAGCAAGAGCATAATGCTCCCTTGTTGTAAGACTATCAGCACCAAAGAGCTGCTGTACCTCTCTGGCCCTAAAAGTAGTACGTGAGCAGGCAACAGCTCTAGCCCTCATGCTGTGGGCATCCCACCCCTCTGCAGCGAGCTGGAGCTGAACTGCTCCGCTGTGGATCCAGCTCTGCACGTACATGCATGTGCCGTGTGTGAATGTGTGTGTGTGGCATGTCACACCCCAGCTGGCCCTGTGTGCCCATGGCCCAAACCCTGGGCATGTAACAGCATGTGGCTGGAAAGCAGATGGATGGCTGGAACATTTGCTGGGGAAGTATTTATTTGGGTTGGGGTTAGGGGGAGGGGGAGTTGCTGCCCTATAGGATGTGGCAGGCCAGGCTCACAAACACTGCAGAAGGAGGGTGGAGAGCTGTGTGTGGACTATGCCAGACACTGTTAGAAGGGACTGGAGGAGGTCCCTGTGACAGAGGAGAGCTGGAAAAGCTTAGCACAGATTGCATGAGGCTGTCTGTTGTGTGTGCACAGCTAGAGTACCAACGATGTTAGGATATGCAGGAGCTCTGTGCACATCCAACAATTTTACTGTGTACTTGTGTGTTGTGGGGGTCCCAGATCCAATGCAGCAGGAATCCTAACATTAACGTCTGCTTCCTATGCTCTGACACAATGAACCGAGGGCAACAGCAGCTTCCAAAGGTCCCAGGTGGGCAGAGGCTCTCATGGGCTGCTGACCTGCAGGAGAATGAGGTGATGGTACCACAATAGGCTCATCCAGGCACCTTGAAGTCCTTCTGGCAGAGCTCAAATCTAATATGCCTATAAAATGGCTTTCTTCGTGTTCGGTTTTAATTTCATAACCTGGCATAGAAAGGAAATGTGAAGAAATGGACTGAAATATCTGCATGACTTCAACAGTGTATGACAAGAGAAAGTGGAATTATGAATGTCATATTAATTTTGGCTTACACTGACATGTTTACTTGCAGTAGAGGCCTTGCATCAGAGCAGTATTTTGAAATCAAGTGCTGCAACACCTGTAGGCGAAATGAAGTAATTTCAGGGCAAAACCAGAGTCTTATCTCAGAAGTAGCTTGCTTGGGTGGCTGTCACAAGGATAAACCTGAATCTTAATGCTGTTTTTCAGTTCTCCCTAATCAGAAAGTCTCAAATGCTTCAGCAGCACATGCTGCATTAAGATAAATTTCTGCATCCAGGAAACTCGCCCAATTATTATTTTGTGTGCAAAATGCAGCTCACTGAAGAATCCCAAATCCTTGTTAGGGAACGTGGTTGTCCCATACAGGACTCAGCACCCTTTCCCCCTATCTGAGCCCAGACATTTCTAATGCCTTGAGGCAGAACAACAGTGCTTTGGAAAGCTCCTACTTCTGTAGTGTTCACTGACAAAGAATCTGACCCTATTCCTCAGCAGTTTGCCTGGCACTGCACGCACCAGGTTTGCCCTTCTCTTACCCATGGGAAGCCATGAAAGAGATAAAGTCTTTCCCATGGAAAGGACCTGGATGGAGCCTCCTGGTTGCTAAGGTGATTGCTTCCCTTCTACCCTACAAGGAGAAAATGCTGGAACCACTAAAACAATGAGGGTGAACATTAGTACAATCTTTCTGCTTGGAAGGACATCCCCGTCTTTCTTCCTGAGCAGCACAATCAGGTCCCCAGCAAGTGTTGAGGTTTTCTCCCTGAATGCCTTGGTCAGGTGAGCCACAGCACCGAGACAGAATGAAAAGTGTCACGAGAGACTGCTTCCCAAGGTGCTTGGTCCATGCCATGCGTGGTCACAGATGTTGATGTGCTCCAAATCCCAACTATAGTACCCTTGCTGCTATGTCTGGGGGCTCTTATAAAAGCTTGTGTTGCAAACGCGTGTCTTTATTGCCTTTCCCAATTCAAAAAACAGGCAACTTATTGGTTTCCATGCTCTGCTTTGTGTGCCCCAAGGGAGCCGTGGCCAACCTGGGCTTCCCGGCATTTGTGGAAACTTACAATGGTGTCCTGATTTCCATCCCACTGACTCTTCACTCTGAGACAGGCCAATGGCACATCTCCAGGCAAAGAGAGACCTTTACCCAGAGTGGGCCCTGCTCTGCCTCCCAGGTGTTGCCAGAATGAGATGTCATGGAGCTGGGGTCCCTCCCCACACCAGGGACCCATGGATCCTCTTGCTGGGATGGGACAGCCTTCCTATGGCTGTGATCACCCCCTTGCTTTCAGCCCCTGTTACGGACATGTGCACCACGAGAATGTGGCAATAGCTCCCAGAGAGAAAATGGGTGAATGCTTTTTCTGTAATAAAGTAGGGTTTTTAATAACATAATTAGAGCAGTGTTCTCTAGGCAGCCTGGGGTGGTTTTGGTTGCTTGTTTTTCTTATATAAATTGAAACATATTTCAACTTCAGGATTTAATTTCCCCCCACCTCTCCTGCAGCAATTACAGCTAAATACAAGAGAGGAAGCATAAAGCCAAGCCTGGGACTCTGGCTTGAAGAGGTTCATGCCTGACAGTGAGCCACAAAACATGTGGTCATAGTTGGCTTCATGGCTCTGATTTACCTTTCTGCGCTGTAAATAAAAACTGACTCATTTGCAAATGATAATTCCAGTAGGTGATCTAAGCCTTTTTTCTTTATGAAAGCGTGCTGGGCCTGGCTAGGATGGAGTTAATATTCTTCATTGCAGCTCCTATGGTGCTGCAGTTTAGATTTTTTGACAAAATCAATGCTAACAACACAATACTGGTTTAGCTGTTGCTGTCTAGTGTTTGCATAGCAATGGGGCCCTCTCTGTTCCTCATTCTGCCCCCTGCGTGAATAGACTGGGGCTGCAAAGGAGGCTGGGAGGGGTCACAACTGGGACGATGACCCCAACTGACTGAAGGGATAGTCCGTGCCATGTAACATCATGCTTAGCAATGAAGAGGGAGAAGAGGGTATTTTAGGGAGGTTAACCATCTTTTGTTCAGCAACTGGCCGGGTGTTGGTCTATCCGGGAGGTGATGAGGGATTGTCTTTGCATTCCTTCTTTTGCTTGCTTCTTCTCTCCATTTTTTCCTTCACTTTCTGAACAATAACTGGTTTGTTTTGTTTTTTTTATCTCGACCCCTAAGTTTTCTTGCTTTTACTCTGTCTTTCTTCTTCCTCTGTCTCACTGGGTGGAGCGGGGCCGAAGTGAGTGAGCAGCTTTGTGGTGCTTAGCTGCCCACTGGGGTTAACCCACAAAAGGAGTCCGCTCTATAAAAAAGGAACGCATCTGTGTTTTTAGAGAGACAGGTTACGCCAAGGGAGGGAGGTTTCTATATAACATCTGATTATGGCAATATCAATGAGAAACCAGAACACATGGCATCATTTTTATAAGGTTTTATTTATCTGACTTAATGTGGAAGTGCAGCAAATAAAGAAAATGGCACTGTTTCAGGTGCCTTTTTGGGGCCACAGCATTACCTGACTCAATGTCCTATTGGCATCTTCTTCCTTAGGAACCGTGACACACTGGCCCACATGACTACACCCAAAGAAATGCTCTCCAACGTGATGCAAGCTCTGCGATACCTGGACTCCCGTCTTCCAAACGGCAGCCATGTGATTTTAACAGGCTTGGTAGATGGTCGCTTCCTCTGGGATAACCTGCATGACAGATACCATCCCCTAGGTAAATATGAGGTGTTGTGGGGTTCCTCCTGGTTATCTGTCTGCTCATGTTGCCTTTGCTCTCTAAATAATTCATGGATCTATTAAGAATTTCAAGCAAACCTGACAGAGTGGCGAAGATCTGAGAAATATGAGTCAGATATTTCTGTGCAGCAAAGTCAGAATGACAGTTCTTACCATCCCCACTGCATGACAGGACAGATCCCTATCCTGCCCTGTTACCCCACCAGCGAGACCTACTCAGCTCCAAAACAGCCTCACCACATTCTGTAGATGTGGAAACAAGATGTTCTACCTCAGCCTTGGCCCGAAATCATGGACAGCCTGCCTGCACTTAATCCTGATTGTTGTTACAGGTGGAGCTGGACATTTAGTTAACACCTCCATTCACTGGTTGGTGGATGTTATGGTAAAATTGGATGTGGACCAGGACAGAAGATTAAGTCAGGGGATTGCAAAAGACTGGTTATATATTAGAGAAATAAATTTTCCTCCTGGGTGCCTGCCACCTTCTACACTACCTACAGGTGTAATGGCTGAAACCTCACACCATGTGCAGGCGCGTTTTGGGCCATTTCCTCAGAGTGTAGTTGCTGTAAAGAGCTTTGGGGTATTTTTTTTCAGAGATTTGCAGGCTGCCTTTGGGAGCCTGACATCTCAGGGTGTGAATGAAGCTGTACATCTGACCATTAGCAGACCACTTGCTCCTTGGCTTCATCCTGTGCCAAGCAGCAAGGATGAATGTCATCTCAGGGGGCTTCATTCATTTGCACTGAAGTGTGACATCCATCCTTGGTTAGTCTGATAGCTGTGCCTCTGAGGTCACTGTGGAAACATTTCCCTGGGAATGCGGGATGTTGGGGGGTGGGGAAGCTTGGAAGCTGGTTGCAGAACCCCTTCTCTGCAAGTTCATAGCACCATGCAGTGCATAAAGAATGTGAAATACTTTATGCAGGTAGCAAAGATAGTTTTTACGCCAACAGAAGCAAGTCCCTTGGTCTCAAGTCAAGAGTGTGTACCAGATGCCATTCCACTGCCAAATTTTAGACCAAAAACATGTACTTATTTGTATTTGTGTAAAGGAATCTATTTTGCATCTAACAAGCAAGAAGTTATTTTCGTCTTTGTTCTCATCAGCAAAGAAAGAGAGAAGCTAAACTACATCATTAAAATGGTAGATCACAAATGCAGATGATTTTGGCAACCACAGCTGTCAGCAGAATCTGTGCTGTGGTTTCCCCAAGATTCCCCAATCACTGCCGGTGGGTCCATATCTTTTCCATTTCTATTCCTGATATCTTGTTATATTTTTCTCTAATAAGCACCATACTACTACCAATGGAGAAAAAAAAAAAAAAAAAGAGAAACTCTTGCCCCTTTCAGGGCAAGGGAAACCTGTGATAATTGTTTTTTAGTCACATAAACCCATTTCTCTCCTTGAGCGCATGTTTATCACAGGGATGGTTCCTCTACGGGATATCTAATTATCAAAGACAACACATAGCATTTTTTGGCACCAGCCAAATCAGGAGTGATTAACTACAGAACCAGTTGGAAATCTTTCAGAGGGGCTGATTTGCCTTAAAGGGACCCAATTAATCCTAAGCAACGTGTTTTGCAGCAAAGGATCTCTTCTGGCAGATTCTCCAATGAGCTGTGAGCAGGTTTCCCCATTTGGCTACCAGTCAGTCAGGCGTGACCAGACACCAGTCTGGCTTTCAACCAAATCCCTAGTCCCCCTGACAGCCCATCCCAGGGCCTGGTGCTTCAGGCTATAGGGGTCTGGGACATTCCTGATATCCAGGAGTGACACTAGATCTTTGAACTTCTCCTCATTTGTTCCCTGGGCAGCTGATACTGCTGCTGGATGATGGGCAGCTGTGTGATAGGCGTGAATCACATCTGTATTAGGGAGCCACTGTAAAGCAACCTGAGGAGCCCATTTCACTTGGGAGTGATTATACTTTGATATTTATGCAGTACTGAAATATGAAATTTTTATTGTTGTTTTAGGAACTGCAAAGTCTGACATAATGATCAGTGCGCTACAAACTCAGACAACTGAGTGGCTATTTAATTCCCATCTTAGCTGTAGCTACCAAAGAAGCAAAAAGATCAAGAAAATGGAGAATTTTCTCAGCAAGCCAGGCTATTGCATAGCACAGCGAATTTTAGGGAATGTCAGCTGGGTGTTTGACTTGGTGCTTAAATTTGCTCACCCACACAAACATATCCAGTTCCCTCAATGACAGCAAAATTGTTTCTCCCTTTTAAGGCTAACCTCTGTGAGGTAAATGCGAGTGTACACAGGCATCCTTCTACTTTGCAAACCCTGCATTTCTATGGCAAGTGAGAGACACGTTAATGGAAAAAATATCAGTCATGCACTTCAGAAATTGGCATAGGCTGTGATGACTAACCCCACATGTGAGACAAATCACCTACGAAAGGCAGGAGAGGGATGCAGGAGAAGCAAAAGCATGGAGACATGGACACTTGGCAGGAGGAATGCATTGGTGCCACCTCTATTGCACCCCAGCTATGGTGGTGGGAGGGTAACCCAAGGGTGGGAAGTGGGGTGGTGCTCCTGGGGTGCCTCTCCCCACCCAGGGGTGTAGTGCATGGGAATTCACAGACCTGAAAAATGAAGATACATTTGGCCATCAGGCACATGAACTTTCCCTCTCTGTGCTTTGCAGGGCAGCTGAACAAGGATGTCACATACAGTCAAATTTATTCTTTCCTTGACTGCCTCCAGGTAAGGTGTCTGGCTGTAGCTTACTAGTCCCCTTTTCCTTTTGGCCCACTACTAAAGCCCCTCTCCCCATGCCTGCCCAGGTGAGCCCCTGCAGCGGCTGGCTGACCCCCAATGAGACCCTCAGGAATTTGACCTCAGAGGTAAGTCTCAACAACAACGGGGGCCACTCTCTTGCACATACATTGAGGATATAAGCCCAGTTACCTCAGCACACTTTTTCTTCCAACGATGAGAAGAAAATGAGGAAACATCTGCACCCATCCTTTCAAATGCCTCTCAGGCTCTGGGAGGCAGCATGCTCAAGTGAAGGATTCGTAAAGGTATTCCTGTTATAACCTCTCAGCTGTCCAAATTTATTCTCAAGGGATGTGATCTCCCTGAGACAAAACTGTTCAGGTTCATGTTCTTTAAGAAGAAAACATACCTGATAAGGAATAAAAGGCTTGTGAATCAAGTAGCTGTTGGTATGACAAGCTGGCTGCATAGATTTTGCTGCCAATGGGAGCGGGTCCTGAGAGCAAGAGTTTTACCCTTTTTTCATTTGGGATTTGTGCTAATCTTCCTCAGACACATTTCTGTGGACTTAATCATCAGATGGTGTGACCAGGGAGCATCCAGGCTCAGTGCAGGAATGGGAACAGACAGGACAGAGATGTCTTAAAACTCACCCTAAAAATCTGGCTGCAGAAGTGAATGACACATAATACCAGCCACTTATTTTGTTGTGGTACAAACTGATTTTTAATTTCAGGAATCCCCTGCAGTCAGTCATGTAAAAGAGACAGTAACCAAATGTTATCAAAGGTATCATTTCTGTGTATAGTTGTATTAATATTTGCATTCACTAAACAACAAAATATTGCCTTAATTTAACCGAAGCTTACATACGTATTTCATTTTATGCCCTGTCCCTCTTGACTTCAGAGAAGGCAATTAAACAGATTCCTAAATCTTTGCAGGATTACAGTTTATATATTCATACCAACAATACAGAATATAGAGTACATGTAACTTCTGTCCATGAACAATGCATATGCCTGCAGGGTATGAATTAATCTTTTTGAGCCCTTGTCTGAAACTAATTGTCTATGTTATTATCCAAACTGCACAATTTAAATATTTAGGAGATCCTGATCTCTGTTATGGCTGTAGAAATTACACTGGATGTATCAGTTAGGCAGACACTCAATGAAGATCATTTACTCTGCTGAAAGTAAGGGTGGAATTTGGTTTACTTAGATAAGCATTAGCATCCACAACATAGTAGCAGGAAGGACAATATGAAAACAGAACATTTCTGTTGCAGAAAAGTTTTGGGTTTCTTTAAAAGAAATGAAAATTACTGGGCTGCCACTCATCAAGAGGCTCCAAAACTGAGAAGTTCAGAATATTTATATAAGCCTAGGGACACTACTAAAAGAGGTCTCCAGTAAAATAAGCATATGCTGTATTAAACTTACAAAATCAGCCGAGGCCTCAATGTAATCTGCAAGGACATGTTGCATGATGAACTGGGTAGCTCAAAGGCTGGTGGTGTTCGTGCAAGTTCATGTTATGACAAAGAACCCCATTTCATCTCCTTTCCCCCAGCTGAAAGAACAATATTAGCTATCAAATTCCTGGCCACACTTCAGTGATAAAAGCTGAATCCATGCAAAGCAGCATAAATAGCAATGAATAGTCATTAAATAATTTAATTTTTTGCAGAGAGCGTTACAACTTTCCAACGTCCTGAAAGAAATAGCGAGATCTGAGAAATTTGCCAGCTTTGATATTTTCTACATGGATTTCCCACTGAGACAAAGTAAGTTGCTTTTTTTCCTGCCTTTCTTACAAAACATTTAGTCAGGTGCTAAGCTGCTAATATGGTCCTCATATTTTAGCTCTGTACCAGGAAAAGGGCAGAATAGTCTGCCAGCCTAGGTGATCCTGATGGCAGGGATGTGGTCAAGGGTTGACATTTAATGCCATCTCCCATCTTCCCTGAATGGAGAGTAGCCATGGACCTTTGCTGAGACAAGACCCCACCACCAGCCTGGGCACCACAACCTCCGTGCTGCTCCCAGCTGCCAGCACCCACAACCCCAGTGATGCACAGCACACAGGCCACTTTCTCTTGGGTGGCAAGGGGCGAGGCAGAGCAGATATGCCTCTGCTAAAAATGCCTCCTGGTTGTCCACTGCAGTTTTTCAGGCTGGGGAAGGAAAAAAGAAATCTCAAACTTACATTGGTCCATAAGATTTGGTTATATTTTTGATCATGGCTTTTATAGTGGGTCATCTAGGCTGGAGATTCATACCCGCAATGGTGAAGGTGGTCTTCATGAGCTGTAGTTTACTATATCACTGACTAGGCTTCATATTGCTTCCTCTGGGATGACCAGTGCCTCAGGAAGGAGAACTTTTATCATCCATTTTTCTGTGAATAACACAGCCACGCTCTTCTAACTCACTGTTCTCAAAAGTAGAAGCACCTCTCCCAGGAATAACTGGCTTCTTTCCTATGTTTCTTTAAACATCTACTTTGACTTGAAGAGCTTACGAAACTTGTCCTTCTGTGGTCTTTAGTGACATTAGGTAAGCGTATTACCTAAATCATTCTTCTGCAATTGACATTTGAATTAAAAAAAAACAGGATATTTTTGTTGTTACCATGAGCATCAGCGGACAGTGTCCCTGTGGGACTGGGGACAGACATCTGTCGCTGGATCCTTCTGAGCTTGGCTTTCCGTGCAAAAAGCACAGGAATCCAGCTTGAGGCATCACCCAGCATCAGCCCAGATTCATCATAAGGAGAAATATACTCCTTCTTTTTCAAAAATAAGAATCAGCATGGGGTGACAGATTGAGTTGGGCAACATATTCAAGTAGTTAGACAGTGATGGGAAAGTAGGGATAAGGCTTCTTTTTTCAGCCTGAATCTCCCATGTTTCAACTTATGCCCATTGTCTCTCCCTCTCCTACTGTGCAGTGCTGTGAAAAGACTAGCCCCATCCTCATTGCCTCCTCACAGGCTCTTAACCAGAAGGGATCGTACCTGTCCCTCAGCCTCTGTTCACAGGGCAGGAGCTCCAGCCCTGGCCACCTGACAGCTCTCCTCAATAGCATGAATATTTATGTTCCAAAAATAGTATTTAATAATTGGAAAATAAACTTAATCTCCATTTCCCTCTTTTTATATTCAAAGTTCTGTGTTGGTCCTTCCTGAAAAATTTAGTCTGGGTATTATATTTTAAATCCCAGCACACAGACAGCTAAATCTGGAGCCATGAAGGGACAGAAGCACCCTGTCAGTACTTTAAAGTGTACATCTCTAACACCTCTCCCCATCAGTGCCTGGCTGTCCTCGAAAGCACGAAGCTGCCAAGGCACCTAAGATTATTAAAAACTCATTTTGCAGCCAAATCCTATCAAAATTCAAAAACTTATTTTATCCTGCATGGCCCACTTCAGGAAACTGGTTCTGGGTCTCATGAAGACCATATGGAGAAGGAGGAGGTAAAGAAGTGAGGATAGGAGAGGGAGTCTTTCTGTCCAAAAGTTCCTCTCAGAGAGGTGGACTCCCCTGCCAAGTTGATTATTGCAGCACAGAGTTTCAGAGTGTCCAAGTCTCTTTGCAGCTTTTGCCTCAGCTACTTAATATTTAACAAGTCATTCGGATTTGAAATGAACTACCTGCTGGGTAGGCAAATTACTTTAATAACTTAAATTATTAACTTTAAGTAATTTATTTGCTTTCACAAAAAGAAACATCTTAATATAATTTGCTGATCTTGATTACATCGTGTTAAATTAATGAAGTAAACAAAATCACACATGCATACACAAACATCAGCTTTGAAAGACACTCTGCAAAGTTTCCTGCAGCCCTGGAGCCAACGATTCAAGCTTGCCGTCAGAAAAGCTGTCAGATCGTAAGTGTGCTCAAAAGCCAGCTAAGGCTGCTGACCTACTTTTCTGGTCTCTTTCTGAAGCAAGCACAAATCCTCCATGAAACTCTCCAGACATCAAATATTTAGCAGTGGTTGCACACTGTGATGACTACATTGATTTCAGGCTGGCCTGGGCATATATATGTGCATAGCAGCTCCCAGCTTTGTCAAAGTAATATTGGAGTATACTAGCATTTATCTTAGATTTAGATGGACATTCAAGATCACACCTTGCCCTTGGAAATCAGTCATTCCTTTAAGAAGCAGTGTAATAAATGGTGGGGTATGTGTTGCTTTTCTGGACTTTTTCTTGGTGTGGAGGGGAGCAAACTCTAGTCTAGTCTAGCCAAGGCAATAGTAATTTTTAACACAAATTCTGGACATACTCAATTGGTGGTTATTTGCTCGATTGCTCTAGGATTTTTGAAGGTCAAGTATAATAGTCTGAATTGACGTATCTTGATACAAACCTTACTTATCCCTTCACTATTTCTGGCATTGGAGCTGTAGTCCCTCTACAAAGTAAAACACAGTACACCAGCCTCTTAATCCATGTAGAGTATCATATATATGAGGAGTTACGCAAGTTCATTCTGTTCATCTATATGAGTGTTCTGTGGTGTAATATATGTTGTGCCCAACATAATGCAAGTTTGAAGTAAAGCTCCAAACCCTGTGTCTTGAAACAGGTTACTTTGGGAGCTGACTGAAGCATCTCAAGTGGGTTTCTATAGTCAAAGCAGAAATGTTGCCTTTTTGTAAATTCAAAGTTAGCGTGGGGACCCAGACACCACTTTTCAACACAATAGCCAGGGTCCAAAATACAGTGGTTAATCTAGATCAAAACTGTGCTTGAATGGAGAACATTTTCCTCCTGACAGGATGCTTGCATAATGCTATTAAGAATTCTTAATCTGTCATTATAAAAGGAATTATTGAATTTACAGTCTGTTAATGCCATATCCACTAGTCCCGTGTTTGATCACTCCACAGCCCTTTTGAAGAGAGAAAGCTTTTTACTTCTCTAATGGCTCCAGGGCTTATAGCACAGCATCATTTGCATTGAATGTCACGCTTATGTAATTCAAAAGGTTATTTTGTTGGAGTTGAGAAAAAGACTGCTCAGAAGAGAAGTAACAAAAAATGACAGTCATTCCTGCAGACTTCAGCCCATGTGAATATTGTTGCCATCTTTTTCTCTAAAAAGCACTGTTTTCTTTATCTTTTTTTTTCTTTTGCATTCTTGGGGATGCAACTAACATGGCAAATGCAAAAGTATTAAATCAGTATTAAATAATTTACAGCTTTACTTGGTATACCATCCATCTTAGTTGGGAGGGAAAGCGAATTGTTTTACGATCATTTATGTTCAAAGCGCTTTCTTGCATAAAGATCGCAGAGAAAAAAAATTAACAATAAAGTCTTAAATACTGCCCCAAGGAGAGGGGATTGCACACACTATTGGCTCTGACAACTTTATGCGAATTATCATAATTTTCATGCAGAGCTGTCATGTGCTTGAAAATACCAGCGGTGCTTTGCAGAAGAGGGGGGGTCACACCTCCAGGCGGGCGTCTACGCGTTCACCGTGATAACCCCTCTGCTTACATTATTTGCAGCGGTTGAGGAGTGGCGCAAGATGGGAGGTGAGCCCTGGCAGCTGATTGAACCAGTCGATGGCTTCCACCCCAGCCAGGTAAAAACCCAGCCCCAAGAGATGGGTGGGAGGAGGCAGGATGAGGGAGCATGCGAGATGCTAGTGCCCATTGCTGCCCCAGGCACTCAGCTGGCGTGCCACAGAGATGTAGGTTTGGGGTATTTCTCTTTTACAGGAGAGTCATAGGATCATTTGGGTTGGAAAGACCTCTAAGATCATAGAGGCTGACTATTAACATAACACCGCAAAGTCCACCACTAAACCCTGTCCCTAAGCATCACACCTATGGGTTTTTCAAATACCTCCAGGGACGGTGACTCAACCACTTCCCTGGGCAGCCCGTTCCAATGCTTGGCAACCCTTTCCCTGAAGAAATTTTTTCTAATATCCAATCTAACCCCATCCTAGTGCAGTTTGAGATCATTCCCTCTTGTCCTGTTGATTGTCCCTTGGGAGAAGAGACCAATCCCTACCTCATCAGGACCTTGACCTCCTTTCAGGTAGTTATAGAGAGTGATAAGAGAGTGATAAGGTCTCCCCTCAGCCTCCTTTCTTCCAGGCTAGAAGACCTCAGTTCCCTAACCCACTCCTCATAAGACTTGTGCTCCAGAGCCTTCTCCAGCTCCATCGACCTTCTCTGGAGTCGCTCCAGCACCTCAATGTCTTTTTTGTAGAGATGGGCCCCAAACTGAACACAGGATTTGAGGTGTGGCCTCACCAGAGCTGAGTACAGGGGAACAATCGCTGCCCTGGTCCTGCTGGCCACACTAATGCTGATACAAGTCAGGGTGCCATTGGCCTTCTTTGGCCAATCTAAATGATGGCTTTAGCCCTAGAGCCAACATCTCCATTTCAGGCAGCTGCACTCTGCTTTGGCTCCTGCAAAGTCTTCTGCCTCTTTCCCTCATTGACCAGTACTATGGCCAAACAGGTCTTAATGCACAAAAACTGATCCTTGCCACTTAGCCTGGCCGCTTGTCTGCCCAAACACTCATGGGAATTTTGCAGGATCAGGACAGAAATGCAGCACTGCAGGAACCAGACAGGTCCCCTCCAGTCCTGTCCCTGCTCTGCAGCCTCTGAGGCTGTGTGTTTCCCTGTTGCAGCCTGAAACAAAGCTTTCTTTTTGAAGCTATACATTTAAATTGCTTATGCTCAGCAGCTACATATTAGTAAGTTTTCTCCTGCTTTCTTGGCCTCCTAGGACATGTGGCAGGAGAAGGTTTACAGTCAGAAGTAAACAAAAGGGAAGGAGAAGCACCTGCTCTGCTTTAAGTCCTTGCCTGGATTTGATAACTTAGTGTGAGGTTGCCTGGTTCCCACCATACTCACTTCAAAATAGTTTTTTCTGACCCCGTAAAACGCAGGGAGAGACAATGTTCTGCAATCAGCTGCAAACAAAGCCAATCAGTTTTCTATTTGCTAGCTGCAGATTTCAAACACGTGTGCAAAGCAAAGCAGCAGCCAATCTCCTCTGTACAGTCCTGGGAAAAACTGTGTGTGAGCTGAAAACCCACGTGCAGCCTTTAACAGTGAGGTCTCCCACCAGTGGGCATAGCCTGACAGGGTTCTCTGGACACTCCTCAATGTTTTTAGGGTGCATGGTGCCAGCTCTGTGCCATGGTGAGAGCAGTTTGGAGAAAGCTGTTGTCTCTGTTGTCTAGAACATCACTGCCTTGCCCCACACTTCCAACTGCATGCTCCCCTCCACCTCAGAATGATCAAGCCATGCAAGCAAACCCCACCATGCTACCCAGCCACAGGCAGTGCCCCCTGTTCAAAAGTATGGCGGGATTTTATGGACCAGTTTCATGTTGTGAGCTAACACTCTGAATGTGTTGACTCCCACACCTGATCCTCATACAACCCAATGTAATGACATTTTCCACGCTGAGAAAGAGCAGTCGATGGAGAAGCACTTCAACATGCATTGGAAGCATTGATGGATTCCAACATTTCGGCAGCTTCTCCCTTGAATGTGCTGTCAGTTCAGCTGGAGGAGAGCTGCAGGGGGAAGTCCAAAGGCAAAATATATGCTTTAGTTGCCTTGTTTCACACCCATGAGAAACTCCAAACCAGCCAGGTGGAGCAATACAGTGCCTTGCTTAGTCTTACCAAGTTAAAAGAGCCTCCTGTTCAAAGAGGGACTCCTTCATAGCAGAAATTCCTGCCTGTCTACCACGCGGTACCAGAAGCTAGCTGGATGAAAGTATGAACTCACAGCCTGGGGATGCAGAGAAAGCATGCCTGGATTTTTTGCTGCAGGCTTTTTGCAAGGACGCAATTAGAGAAAACTTGGCAAATGAAATGAGAGTCAAAATCATGATGAAACAAACCCCATTCCCAACCCTGCCATCTGAGGAAACCGTGCCATACAAAGACTATGGAGTGAAGCAGAAAAGGTCTTTGCATAATTTTCCTGTCTTACCCCAAGGCCAGCCTGAGGTTTCTTATAACCCCCAGTACCAGGCTACCATGGGAGCCAAGCTTGCCATATCACAACTTTTCATCCAGGCTCTTGCACACAATCTGCAGCTGCAAGGTAGCATGGAGTTGAAGGCAGGAAAAATATATCTTAACTGGATCCTTCCTAAGCAAAAAGGAAGTTATAAAAGGACATTGAAGGGCAGCTGCAAACCTACATGCAGCCCCCAGAGTCCTGAGCTGCAGGATCCAGCCAAGCACTGTCTTTTTTCACTCCCTCTGGACCTGGCAGTGGTTATGATTTCCCCCTCCTACTGTTAGGATTACTGTTACTGCTTTTATAGGTACATTTTCCCTTACAGTCAAGGTGCCAGCTGTAGATATGCCTCACTTCAAGTGAGTTATTGTCTTTCGAGGATTTATTAATTAGCCTTATCCAAACATCCACCATTTTTCTTTTCCTGTTAGTGTACAGACCTGTTAGTGTACAGGGGGCCTCTGGTGGTCTAGTGGTCTAGTGGTTAGGGTGCAGGACTCTCACCGCTGCGACCCGGGTTCGATTCCCAGCCCCCCGGGCAGATGGAGCTCGTCAGCCCTGTAAGGCAATCCATCTAAGAGAAGGTCACTCTAAACAAACCTACGTCCTGGGGACCTCACTGCCACTGTCCAAGTTTGCTTGGCCCCGGCAGATGAACCTCAGGATTAAAGGGTGGGCTCAGTTCAGCACAAGCTGTGTCTCACCTAAAAAATCCACTGCGCAGGCTCGAAGGGTTAATGACCTTTCCCAAATCTTCGCTCGCGAAGACTGGCCATTATTATTAGTGTACAGAAGTCTGTTATCAATATAGCACTATTTAGACTGAAACATAGCACTCTGCTCCAAAAGAGTGACTCTCTTAATAAAAAGAAGGGGAAGTGTTAACAGAATGATATTTAAGAGTACACTTAAGAAAGATGATAAACAACTCACTCTTCACATGAGTTTTATTTAAAGTTTTACTTTCTACCAACATGAATGCCTCTGGCCAGGTATGGCTTTTTTACCGTACAGTGTTGCCTAGCAGGAGAGAATTGATACCATGCAGCTCAAGTGAACAGAGGCTCTTACTTTAATCTCTGCAGCTATTCCCCATCCCTCATGTATAGCTTGACAAAAACTTACAACAGATAAGACCTAGCCTGGGCATTTCTACTGAATTTTCCCTCTGTAGACCTCAAAGTACCTGACAAATATTCTCAAATTTTGGAATTGAGCAGCACTCCAAAGAAAGCATAAATACTTTAGTTCTTGCCTTCAATGCAGAGAAACTTTGGAGCTTGGGATAAAAGAACCGCAGTGCCCCTCTCGGCCAAGGGTGAGCTGGCAGTGTATACAGTGATCTCTAGTCATTGTAATACAGCAGTGGGCAGCATAAGATGGTGTCTGTTCTCAGCTCCTGGAATTCACCTGCTGTTATCAACTGTCTGTTTAATTTTAAAAAATCATCTGCTGGTATAAACATAGCAGAAGTAGGTGCCAGCATGTATATCCAATAGTCCAGCAGTCCAGACATTCCAGAGGGATATGGGAGGGAATTGAAACTTCCTAGCTGAAGCTTGCATACCTACAGTTACAAGGTGAAGAGAAAGAAAATAAGAAAAAAGACAACACTCATCATGTCCCGTTAGAGCTAGTGCAGTTTTTCGTGCTTTGGAGAAAGGCTAGGTTAGGCACTCAGGCAGGGAAAACTAGCCCACACAGTCCCCACTTCAGGCAATACTTTATATTTAAAAACCCTTGAAAGAAGGCATAAACACCAAGTACTGATTTATTTAGCCAGGCCCAGAAACACATTCCCTTTTTGTTAATTTCTTGCACAGTGAAGGTGTTTCCTGCATGTTTCTATTAAGTTGCAAAACAGGAGGCTGCAAACAAACCACTCATTACTGGCATAATTGCATTCCACTAAAGTTTCAAAGCTAAAATTTGCCTCCATAAAGTTTTTTACAAAACACCTAGCTCAAGATGGAGGTGGAAGAAATTCACACCATTTACTTTTGACACCTAAAACCCAAATGCATCACTCAGTCCTCCCAAGTTCCCTCTAGAGCTGTCTTTGTGAGACCATTCCTCAAAGTCCAGCTTGGTGGTTCTTGGAAGAAATATGACTTTTTCTTCTCACTAACTACAGATGGAGCCCAGCAATTTTCTTCAGCATCTCTTCCTTACTACAAAATTTCACTGCAAATCCTTGTGAATGCCAGATGGCTTCAAGGACATCACTTCCCTCTAGAACAGCCTATTGCTTTGTTTGGATGACAGGGCTATGAATTTCAACAGGATCCTGAACAAACAGCTCCATTTCTTGCTTTTATGAAGTTACCAGGGAGAACGTGAAAGCCCTGAGCATCACAAACTGGAACCTGAGACGCTTGGAAGATTCTTAATGTTTACATACAGGCAGGAAAGCACAGCTTGAGTGTGATTAGCTTCTTCCTTTTTCTTCCTTAAGTCATAGCAAAGCATACTCCACCCAGAAATACAGAGAAAAAGCTGAAGTGGCACATATCAGATGAGTTGAGTATTTACACTTTGCTGAGAAGCACGCCCATTGCCAGTTTGGTGCAGAAGGACAAAACAGATAGCCTGAAGCTGCTGGAATAACACAGCTGCCTCCCAGTTGCAGTCACCCAGAGCCCTGTGAGGAACGGGTAATATCTCCTGTAAAGAACTTCCTTCAGGGTTGTCATCTTCACTATTAAGAAATTAATTGCAAGCCCCATACAAATTAGAGCATGTCTCACAGCACAAGAACTTAGGAATTTAGAAAAAAACTTGTAAGAAATGCAATTTCCAGAATCACAAACCCTTCTCTGTGCCTCGCTACTCATCCAGAGTAAATTATTGAAGTCATCAGGACTTTATGAAGTGATGTGTTAACAGAACCTAATTTAGGTAATAATTTAGGGTAGTTTAAGCATATATACCTTAAATTACAGTCAACAGTAGTCTGAACACTGTAGAGCATACCTCTGGTGATACCTTTGCAAAGGTTGTACCATGTAAAGATAGTAGGGTTTTTAAAACCAACCAACAAATCCTGTTAAAAATATATATGGAAGGCTTAGGGAGTTGTGAAGGAGGTTTGGAGACTACATGTCAGAATGGACCACTCTGACAGGGATGTGCCTCAGCCCCCTGGATGACATAGCATGTCCCAGAATAAACATTTGGTCACTAGAAACTGCAACCAGAAGAAAACACTCTACTGTACAGTCTCCTCTATCCTTCTTCCCTGTTCCAATTCCTCCATCAGCTTAACAAAACCTCAGATGACCGGAGTCTAAGAGCTTCCATACCACGAATATGTCTTGTTGTATATGAGTTCTGAATAAAAGTAAGTTTTTTGTCTCCTAGCCCATTATTACAGCTTCCTTCAAAAGTACAACATTTAAAAAGAAGTGCATAAATATTTCCCAAAGGCTTCTGTCCTCTCCAAACTCCAAAACAACAACATTCAAATAGTTTGATTACATAAACCTATTTCAGTCCTTTAAAAAAGGCTTTGTTAGCCCTCATAATTGCAATCAGTGTCAGTGTTAAAAAGTTTATGTTGAAAATAAAGTTATCATAGAAGCCAATTATAATTGTAGGTCAGGAGTTGAAGCAAAACTGCCTTAGCAGCATGGGAAAATTTGATTAAGGGAGAATCAGGCTGTTCTCTCTGTCCCTTTCTGCTACCCTTGATGTCTTTTACCCTGGCAATACAGCAGATACAATTTCTCTTCAGTGCATAACTTCCATGGCAAAAATCTCTATGAAAATTGGACCAATACTGATATTGAGGAGAAAAGCTATTCTAGCATTTCTGCAGGTCTCATGGGAAAAAAAACCTCTGAAGACAACCAGCAGCAGGTGCAAACTTAGAGCATCAGAGCAAGGTAGTTTCAAAACTGGATATAATTGGGCCTCTTTCCTCAACACATGGTTTCCTTCCAGGAGAGCAGGGAGAACATTTATTAGAAGTACTAGAGGTATTTAGAAGCATGAATTCTTTTAGACTTACAATAGTTCTATGCATTATAACCAAGCAGTGCTTTTGACTACTTTCAAAATGTTCAACAGGGGAAAAAATAAAAATCATACTTTAGGGCTTTTGAATAGCAGTTTATGGACTAAACATCATAAGCATTAGAAAGTGGGTAGACACAGACATTGTGTCATTAGACAAACGACTGGTCAGGAGGGTGCAAATATATGGTCCTCACCATATTTTTACTGTTCAGAAGGATTTTGCCCTGGTCAAGCAGCTGGAATGGGGGATTTCTTTTGGTTAGAGGTTACGGTTCATCATGTGGCTATACAGGTTTCCTTATGGTGGGGTCTCCTAAACGCTGGCATGAAATAACTACATTATAGAGACAGGAGATAATGATGGTATTTGTGCTTTTGCAGATTGCTGCAGCCCTTGGAACAAGCATTACCTGGCAGAAGGCACTACAGGAATGGCCTCAAGTGCTTGGAAAGGAGAATCCATTCAATGACCAGATTGAAGCTATATTCAAAGATCAAGGTGGACACTGACTTCCAAACTGCCAGAGCCATAATGTGATCTATGGTGATGCTTCCCAGTGCATTCCACGAATCAAGATGATTAAAGACACACACAAAAAAGGGGGGAAGGGAAGTTATCAGAGCCAGTAGCAGTGGACATAGCACAACAGCATTCTTTTCAGCTTGTATCTCACCTGCACAAGTAGGCTATGCTTTTTCTGTGGAGCTACAAAAATAAAAATCAAAGGATACCTGCCAGCTAGACCATTTATTGTACCGATTTGCAAATCCATAAATTTTTTTTATACAGATAGCGAACTTCTACCCCACCTCATTTTTTCCCCCCTGCAGAACATTATTACTTGGCTTTCCATTTGTACCGTTTCAATGGTTAATCTGATCCAAAAGGAGTGGGGGAAACCTCAAACTCATTATGTTGCTATAAATTGCATGTATGTAATTGCTCTGACTGTCAATACATTATTTAGCTGCTATTTGCTTATTAAAGCGTGCCAGGAATAACAAGGCACTACAATTTTGACTTGCCTGGTAGCATTAGCACAGGCTGACTGAGCACAGGTTCTCTTCCCCCCCATTAATAAGATGCTAACTTGACAACCCTTTATGTATTGAAAACAGGTTTCTTTTTCAACCTATAATACATCTTTGCTCTTTATCTTCCTAACAAATAATATGCCCAGTCCTACGTCTTTTACAGTCATGACCCAGGAACCACTGAAAATACTGGACAGCCCTTAGCTGCTGTACTTCATAGATAGACTTGAACATTGAGAATTACTGCATTTTTTCACCAGCTTATCCATGCTCTTAACAAAATAAATAAATAAATATTTAAAAATTAGAGACAGCTCTACCCTTTTCACAACCTTACTGATGATGGAGGGATCAGACAGCATAAAATGGGATGAATTACACACAGAAAAAAATCTGGTAAACAGAAAACTTTAACATGACATGACTAAAACCCACCCTATTTGGCCAAAGCTCAGGTAGTCCCGCTCTGCTCTTTGTTCTGAGTATATCCCTTGTACAAGGCTGTGTCACCCATGAGGCAGCTCTTAGGTTGTGGTCCAAATCAACAGAGATGCCTGGCTGTAGGAGAAGCACCCGCTCAGCATTTTGAATAGGCAGGGGATGACTGGCTTATATTATTTTGATTGAAGTATGTATTATTGCTTTGCTAGGTCCTATTCCTTTTTTTTTTTAGAGCACAGTCAATGCCACGTCCTTCATTAAGATAGCAGTAATCCCAAAGGAATTTCTAACACTTAAGTAAATATTCACGTCATCTATTTTAGGAAACCAAAAGGGAATACGTTCCCTAATTGAATGATACTTGTTAATAAGGCCCCAATTCATTCAAGGCATTTAGATGCTACCAAAATATCCAGTCTCCCAAGAAATAGTTTCAACTCCAGAGAGTCATGCCTGGGGAAATTATTTGACGTTAGAAGGAAAAGGAAACCTCCTGCTTTCTGTGCCAATTCTTTCCAAACAACGTAACACTCCACGCACCCTGGCCAGGTAGAACGCCTTCTATTTTTTATTATCTATTCAGGCCTCTTATGTTTCACTAAATATAACACAAGGACAGAAACAAATGCATTCACATGGTTTTACTATAGACCAAGTACAGCACTGGCAGTAATTACAGAATATTAGATGATTTCCTCTACACTAACATACAGAAGTGTAGCAATTAAAAGGGGGAAGAGAATCGTGTTTAGAAGCCTAATTTTCAAGGCAATTTCATTGCAAATTATTGTATTTCATTTGAGGCTTAATAACACCAATTAAGAATTTTACAAACTAGTAAAACTGAAATTTCCTCAGCTAAAGTAAGCTTCATTGCCCAGAGCAAAGCGTTTTTCACTTAGAGACTTTCATATTAGTGAACTTCTTGAATTTTCAAACAATGGAAAAACCCATTTCTTATACAATTATAACATCTCAGAGACAACCTGAAACCATAGCTGAAACACAAAGCAAAGCTCTCAGGTTTGCGCAGTGCCATTGCTCCATGCTGGACATGGGGTCTCTGAGGGACACCAAGGAATGGGCTTGCCCCTGGCTGGAGTTGCACTGACCAAAGCACATGCCCTCATGCCTTAGAGTTGAGCTCTGCAGCTCCAAATTGGGCTGTATGCAGAAACTTGATCTGTAATGCAGTAACTATCTGCGAATAAAGATGAATTTTGGGCCTGTTATGCCATCAGCTTTTACAACCACTGTGTCTATTATTTCAAATGCAAAAAACAGCTGAAAATCTGCACCCCCAACCATCAATCACTTACCTGTACCACTCTAAAAATACATGTCCTATGCTTAAAAAAAATGCTGCTGAAAAAGCTTACTTATGCTAAAGCAGTAATGAACTACAAATTCTAGTCCATTCCATTAGTTTAACTGTCTCCTGGTGTTTAGACTGGTTGAAGATGACAAATACGTGGGGAAGAGAGAAATAAACAGGAAATAAAAAGTTTCTCTTGGAAAGCTAAGTATAGTTCCATGCAATTCAAACTTTATAGCAATATGTATTTCTAGAAGGAATGGTCTGTCAAGGTCTCTTTGGGGTCAGTCAGAGCATGTGAATATAGCAGGGATTATGTCACTGGTTGGGTCCAACACACTACAAATGGGAAGGTTTTTTTGGACTTCACTCTGTAAATGGTTTTTACAAAACTTAGAGCTTTGTTTGAAATCAGACAGTAGGAACTATTTTTGAGGTATAGAACATCTAAAGCTACCTAAAGCTATCTGAATTCACACAGTCTGGCCTCTTTAAAAAGGATCTACTACAAACATGGAAAAAATACATCACCATTTTTTTTGCAAAATTCTCAGGTCACCCTTAAAAGAAAAGAGAAGCATGGCAGGAGATGGCACACAGCAGTACAAGTCAGTAAAGCTGTGAGTGCAGGCTTGCAGCTAAGCTGGCATCCCATGCTTCTGCTGGCTGCAGTAGCCCATGTCCTCACCACTGAGAGCTTGTACCCAGAACTCACCACACAGGTCAGCTTTTCTAACTTACACCACCTGTTACACTTTTTACCTTTCCTTGATGAGGGATAACTACTTTTTGGTCATTGAACAAACACAGATTGGTTTCTACAATGGATAATAGCCCAATCAACCTAAATAAAAATATGTTGTTCCCTTGGATACATCCAGTTCAGTTCTTAGCACCTTTCTGTGGACTCACTTGATAATTCTATATTTAATGATTTTTAAGATCCACTTGGAAGTTTAAGAAGACAGCCTACCACATACCCAGCATGAAATTTACCCTTGCACTGTCCGTGTTGTGTTACTCTGTTACTATGCTGCCCTGTCTCTGTCACTAAAGAAAAGAACAATCTCTCCTCTTCATATCTAATGAACTGCTGGACATGGACAACCTGGCCTCTCACTACAAAATTTGGTGCTACCTACATCCAAGGCCTCAAATTATCTTCTCAAAAAAGTGGAATTGTTATACACGTACAAAATAGAATCCTTTCTCAAACACTGTGTGGATCCCAGCACTACTTCTTTAGCTTACAAACTAGTGTTTCAAATGCATAGAAAATGCTATGAGAAAAGCAGGTGGTATGTAATTTTTTATTTTAAATGAATAAAATAAATCTCAATACATAGTTTGGAAATATTTAAAGACATAAAGGAAAAAGAAAACGATTTAAAAGCAAGTACAAAAGTGGCAGGATGAAAACAGTATAAGCTAACAGAATTTAGTGTTTTGAGTGTGAATGTGTAACAGCAACAGCAATTTCAAGTGTTCCACTACTGCATTTGCAATAGTGAAGTAATGAGCTGGTATTTCACTAAGCCCAGTGAAAAGCTGTGAAAACTGCAAGTTTTAACTGAGAATTTTTGCCATTTTGATGGGTCTCAAGTACTGCTTTTCTATGCATTTGCGCACATGTCTGTCAAGGGGAGGAAGACCCGTACTTTTGGCCAGCAGAGTATTAGTTGGTACATAGCAGCTTTGTAAAATCTTATTATTAAAAAAAAAAAAAAGCACTTTTACAACCTATTAACCTATTCCTGGTTCTCAAATGGAGAATTCCAGCTTGTACAAACCACAAGTCCCAGGAAATACTGATGCATACAATCCTAAACCTAAATTTCTCTGTCAGATTTTTTTTTATATAGCAGTCCTAACAAAAATATTCAAGACTTTTCATTTCTATCAAAGTGCAATATACTGCATATGTAATCCCACACCTGCAAATCACATAGTGTACATGCCATGCACTTACCCATACTGGTTTGTATAAGAAATTGCAAAAGTAGTATGAATATATTGTGCATTTCTATTGTTCTGACCACAAGGATGCTGTACAAGCAAGAAATATCTATACTGCATGCTGTAGAATAAAATTGACTAGTAACATCTGTATCTGATCCTTACAAAATACCCCAACAAACCCTCCAACATTAAATCTTGTACTTCAGCAGCATCCTTGTTGGAGTATTTTGAGCTATTGTTTCTTTCAGGGAGCTGAGCTATCTAGAAAGCTTGTTTTTCACTAGCTTGCGCCTCCCTTCCTGCCCTGAAGTGTGATTTCCTGAAATAATTTAGTTGTTTAAAGGAGAAAATGTACCTAGTGAGAAGACTTCCAAAAAAGGAGTTACATAAATATTAAGAAACAGCTAATTGCTTCCTACCATACTCAAAAGCTAGGAAGTAAAAAAGTTTTAAAATTTTTAAGCAAAATAAAAATACTGCATAACACAGTCCTGTATAATGTTAAATACTCTCTCAATTTAAAGCATAAGTGACCCAGAGGACTTCCCATATTTTCATTTCAGTTCTTTTCTTGTTTCGTTAATGAGGATTTTCGCATATTTTCTTCATATTTCCTTTCCAGAGTTTAAAGCTTTCCAATAGGTTTGTAGCAGGCATCAGGCTGCCACATGCGAAGGTCAACAAGGACTTGGTTGAGCTTTTGCATCCAAAGGTTACGCTCTTCTTTAGTATCAGCAGATAGCCAGTTCCTAAAAGGCAAAGAACCCAGTGGATTATTCTCCACCTCCACTTAGTTATTATGAAAAATGTCAAACTAATCAACCATAGAAGCCCAAATAGCAGGGGAAAAAATGAAGTCAAACGTTCCACAGTCCAGTTAACAAGCCACCTGGCATTCTCCACTTCTAGAAAAGTGGAGTTCTTTGTTCTTAGAATACTGAAATGGAATAGAAAGACAAAATAGGTCTAAAAGTGAACCAAACAGCTCAAGTGCCATCTGAAAATCTTAGCATTTAAATGAGCTTAGCACTGATATGACAAAGTTGTAAAGCTCCTATGTTACTAAAACTATCACAGGAGGTAAAACACCATCCCATACACATCCCATAGCCTCCCACAACCTCCATGATCTTATGCACTCACTTTGTAACACAGAGTGTGTCTCTGCATTGGCTGACTAGAGTTTCTCGGTCATCTTCCCTCTGAGGTCTGACAGTTATTAGTTCAAAAGTGTTGGGACGGGCACAGAACTCCCGGTTGGCAGGTTCAATCTGATGGTTGGTACAGTTAGCCAAGTTTATGCGGCCCAAAGGATGCTGAAAGTGAAATTAGTTCATCAGTCAAGGATGCTGCAATCAAGAGTAATCCTGAACATACGCTTTGACAATTTTTGCCATTTTAGGGCCATAGCTGAAAGCAAGATCATACAGGCAATGGAACATGCTCTGCTCAGCCACATACAATACCACTAACACATCTATCCCTTACCAAAGGCTTAGGCTACACAAAGATGTACCTCTCCTTTATTCCTTAGAATGTTTTAACTCTCAATTTCAAGAGAACTTTGTAACAAAATCCAAACTGATAAGAGTAAACCCTGTGAAAGCCTATAGAAAGCACACACTATAGGGATCCTCGCATCATTCTTGTCGAAGCCTATAACCACATATGGATTCATCTTCCAACATTCAACTAAGGCACCTAAGTCTCCAGTCCAGCTGCTTTAGCTCCCTCTAGTCAAGAGATAGGCCTCTTTGAAGAGCCTTCCAAGTTTCAAGGCAGTCACATATAGGTATATGCTGACTATAGAAAGAAGCTCAGCTGTACACCTAAAGTTAGTTACAGACCTTGGCATTGATTCTTCATGCCTGCAGAATACCTCATCAGGGAAACATCACAAGCTACTCTTGGCTTGGAGGAGAATTTGCTATTTTTTGGGCATGCTTACTACACTGTTTCACAGACACTTAAAATAATCCAAGTTCAGGAAAAAGGAGGACAGCTCCACATCAAGGAACATTAGGGAAAGTGTTGCATGTTGGTGATATATGTACAGCCATAGGAAATTTATTTTAGAAAAAAAGCATTTTGTGATTTAAAGCAATCATGACCTAATACTGATATATCTGAGCTACAACTATCTCTGCATGATGGAACAGATACAGTAGGATTGAGGGGAGGCATTTAATAAGTTTAATATTGCTGTAGATAAAAGTATAACAAAAGAATACAGCTGACCCTTTCTCAGAACAATAGTCAAACAAGTCTAGAAGATTTTCAAGAACAGAATCAGGAAAACAAACCAAAGCCTCTTTCTTGTAGACAAAAGGAGAATAGGAATCTTTTTCTTGTTTAATTCATTTAATTTTTGCCTATCTTCTATTACAGTGGGTAGAGATTTTTCCCTCTCTTCTAGCCTGAGAAAAAAGTACATTGATATATTTTGGCAATGTCAACTATCAGCATATGGTCTTCTTCTGTTAGGAGGGAAGGAACTAAACTCAAGCATCTGGATTGGCATAGAAGACCCAAAAAGACCAGTTTGCCATAGAGTTTGGGAATGAAAGTGTTCTGCCAATAAACTTAACAATAAAATAAATTAAAAGTTTAATGGTAAATAATTTCAGTGAGTCAGAAAAATCCTCTTGAAAGCAGTCCTTACAAAGATCTGGAAATATTTTAGCACATGCAGAGAGAACAGGCTAAGGAGACAGGAAGGTTCACCTCAGTGACAGATGAACCTCTGATTTGTCTCATTAGCCAGACATTAACTTGGTTTCCGTGAGAACCAAGAAGCACTGGTTCCAGCTATAATGTGGAATTGCAAGACAACAATAACCACAAATAAGATAGTCCCCAATTACAGCTA